CACTTAGGACCACGCAGGCCAGACAAGGCTCCTGTGATCTGCCTGTCCTGGATTTCCAGCCCTGTGCTCAGAGCAGGTGTGCATCTCTGTAAGTGTCGTTTCAATTGGGTCGCAACCATCTGCCCACCCTAGATGAAACTTCCTGTAGTTGTGATGAGGAAAATGTAAAGTTGACCACCAAATAGTGCAGGGTGCCCCTCACCCAAGGAGGGTTGGCAACCAGGACACTATCTGTGTGACTGTCTTTGAACCTACTTCCTACACCCTGCAGGCTCCTCTCTAATTCTTCTTCATTAACAAGCAATAAAATGAAGGACCAGGACCTCCCTGGGTAAGTCCCAGCACTATGAAGCTATCCACAGCCACTGCAGCACAATCCCCAGGCAGGGAGCTACCCTATGGCACAGCAAACCTCTCCTGTCTTGCCCGCTGCTCCCCTCAGCAGTGTATTTCAATCAATCTGCCTGCTCTGCTCCCCACTCTGTCTCTGGTGAATCCTCTCAACTCCCACACCTCTGGCCTGTACCCCAGTTCTTGAATGCATAAATAAATAAATCTTTAAAAAAATAAAATGAAGGACTATTTATTGCCTGATCACGTAGAAGTTAGTCAACAACTGGTACTGATTCCATGGACTTTCCATTAATTAACCTGCAAGGCCCTCATTCCTCTTATTCCAGAAAGCCACGTCTCTGTCAGCATCCCATTCTTGTTGCCAAAACCATCAAGAATCATGAAAAGCCCTACTTGCAAGTTAGCCTGCTGTGGCTCCATGGATGCTAGTAAAACACACAACACTCCTAGCTTAGAGCAAAGGAATTTATTATGGCACTAGCAGTAGCGAGAGTACCAGCATTTTCTTGCAGATTCTTTAACCCCAGTTCGAAAGGGTCCGGGGACACTGCACTGGTAGTGGCTTCGTTACAGGAGAGGAACCCTGGGTTTAAAGAACCTGAAACTTTTATAACAGGCAGTACGTCTTTGCCCTGAAGAGAGATAATATCACATCTTCCAAAGCTATTTGCTAGGTGGCCATCCTGAATAGATAGTTCAGAAAGTGCCTCTGTGCATGAGACAGCAGAAATGCAGCCACCCATGGAGAATTGCTTCCCAGTCATCCACTGCAATTACCGTGTAAAAACGTTACCAGTTCACCCTTCTACCCCATCCTGTTGGGAGACTGTCTGCTGAATTCTGCTGACATCAGAGGTTCAAATGCCTGTACTTAATGATGGCCTATGGTGCTAAAAAGATCAGGAAAGATTTAAATGGATGTCATTAAAGACCAGTTGCCAACAACTCTCAGACTTTATCAGACAGCTACTAGGTATCAGGTACAGTGGAAATAGGATGGTGTAGGAGCGTGTGGCACAAGGAAGGTGTGGAGGTGCTCCTTTAAAATGGGTGACTTTGAGCAGAACCCCGAGACAGGAAATTGCAGGTGCAAAGGCCCTGAGGGATGAATTTTGACAGGTGAGAGTATCAAGGCAAGACCAGGTTAGGGTTCTTCTTGTGGTTTGATTGTGAGGGTGGAATGAGATGTGGACATCCAGGCACTGTAAAATCAAGGCTCTCCAGACAGCTCAGGGAGATCGCCTCACCGGATCTTCCAGGGCTGCGGGAAGCCCAGGATTTAACCAGGGCTGGGGAGATCCTCAGGAAGAAATATTCAGGACACATGTCCGGGCAGACAGTCAAGGATAGACCAAGGAAGAGGCTAAGGGGAATAGAGAATGAGGAGGTCACTTGAGACCACTGTGCTGGGCCCCTGAGAGTCTCAGCCTCCATTTTCTGACACAGGTTTTTCCGTGAACACTCAAGTCCATGCAGGGCCCATCACCCAGAAGGGCTACATCTGGGTATTTTCCTGGGTTCCTCAATTCTGTTTTGAAGCTAGTACTGGGAGGGCGAGGGGCAAGCCCATGATGCGCAGGTCAGATGGAAGCAAGTCTGCAAGAAGAGCAGGAGGTGTGCTCTTCTGGGGTGTCCAGGCTACATGCCAGCCTTCTATCGGGAGGCAGGCCCCAGGGGCCAGGGGGAGCTTACTTCTGGCTCCAGAACTCAGAGTTCACTTCTGGGCTCTTTTGGCTTAGTTACCCCTACAGGGTCTCTGTGGTTGCTCAGACCATGGCCTGACAGGAGGTTGGGAACAGGAGGGTTGGCCTGACAGGAGGGTTGTGATGGTTTGGGTCTTTTTATAGCTTAATGGGTGATGTCTGGGGTCAGTTGCTCCCTTTTCTGGATTGCAGTGCCACCCGCCTGCGCCCCCCCCTGCCCCCGGTCAGTGGTTAACCCAAGTGTCATTGCATTTCAGAGAACAAGAATGTCACACAAAAATAGTCTATGGAAAAAAAATAGTCTATGGCCTGGACAACTAATCTTTGACAAAGGAGCAAAGAATATACAATGGAACATGGACAATTTGTTCAATAAATGGTGCTGGGAAAACTGGACCACCACATGCAAAAAAAATGAAACTGGATCACTACCTCTCACCATGCACAAAAGTCACCTCAAAATGGATAAAAGACCTGGACATAAGACCTGAAACCATAAAATATATAGAAGAAAATACAGGGAAAACACTACAAAGCATACATCTCAATAACATCTTTAAAGACTCATCACCCAAAGCAAAGAAAGTCAAAGAAAGATAAACACCTGGGATTACATCAAACTGAAAAGCTTCTGCACAGCAAAAGCGACATTAACTCAAACAGAGAGACACCCCACTGATTGGGAAAAAAATCTTTGCACTCTGGCCGATAAGTAACTGATCACAAAGATATACAAAGAACTCACAAGACTCAACAAAAACAAAATAAACAATCCAGTCAAGAAATGGGCAGAAGAACTTAAAAGACATTTTTCCAAAGAGGAAATGCAGATGGCCAACAGGCATATGAAAAATGTTCAACACCCCTTATCAGGGAAATGCAAATCAAAACCACATTGAGATACCACCTTACACCAGTGAGAATGGCACATATCAAAAAAACAAGCAACAACAAATGCTGGCGAGGATGTGGTGAAAAAGGAACTCTCCTACATTGCTGGTGGGAGTGCAGACTGGTGCAACCACTATGGAAAGCTGTCTGGAGGTTCCTCAGTCTACTAAAAATGGAGCTTCCATATGACCTGGCAATTCCACTCCTAGGGATCTACCCAAAGGACACAAAAACATTGATTCAAAAGAACACCTGTACATCTATGTTTACTGCAGCACTATTTATAATAGATAAAACCTGGAAATGCCCAAAAACAGATGACTGGATCAAGAAGATGTGGTACATATACACAATGGAATATTATTCAGCAATCAAAAAAGATGAACTCATGCCATTCGCAGCAACATGGATGGAGCTAGAAGGATTATGCTCAGTGAAATAAGCCAGAAGGGAAAAGAAAAATATCGGATGGTCTCTCTTATAGCAGGAATATAGGGGAACCAAATAAGACATCAGTGTGAAAAAATAATAACAGTGCAAAACACAACAAAGTAAAAATGGACAACTATAAATCAGAGACATCCTGCAGTGGAGGAGGTGGGAGAGGGATCAGAGGGAGGGATGGAGGAGCACAGGGGACTGAGGTGATGGTGCACAGGTGCACTGGTGAAGGAAACTCTATGGGGACTACACCTGAGGAGGTAGGGGGAAGCAAATATTGTTTAAAAATGAACAGTGATGTAAAAAAAATTTAAAAAATTTATAATATATAAAATTATAATTCTTAGGGGAAAAGAATAGACTATGGCCAAGTAATTTAGGGGATACTCTGGATGGATAAGGTCCTCTTGCCAAAGGATTATACAGAACCTTTCCTGCACATCCTAAACTCCCAGAGGGTATGTAGCATGCAATGTTCACCAGGCCAACCTGTCCAGGGCACTGCTTTATCCAGGACTTCCCACCACTGGCATTCTGAAAGGCATGCCTCCGAATGTGCTAGATAAGATGGTCCCCAGGTGCATTTCTAATTCTGTTCTGAAATTTAAAAAATGGAATGCCCTGGCCATCATTGCCCCTTGATCCTTACCTACCTCCACCCTGCATGCTCTCTGGGCAACCAGATCCACCAGAACTCAATATACTGCCCACTTGTGTCCCTCCTCCTTTAACACGCCCTCATTCTGACACATTTCTCCCATAATTGCATTCAGTGGTCACTCAAAGTCTCCAAACCAATTTCATGGCTGCCCCAACCCATAATATACTCATTCAGGATGGGGCTCTTTTCTTAGGGTGGGCAGAAGGTGCACACTGAAGTGCCAAGACGGGCGAGCTCACTACCAGCGCTCACACGCTGCTGGCCACACACGTAGAACACCCGCGGTCCTGCCCAGCACACTCCAGCTGGGCCCCCTGCCACTCCTTGCCCGAAGGTGACTCCAGGTCTGTCTCCAATTGGAATAGTCAGGTCAGAACTCCTGCTGATGGAGCGCCAGTGTGGGCTTGGGCAGGTGGGCAGAGCAGCAGCCATTCAGGGCGAGAGGACAGGCCAGACACAGGAAGACTGCCTAAGTCAGCTCCCTGCAGAACCCGAGGCAGGTCTGAGGCTGCTGGATAATGCAGGGCTTCCCATCACTTCCTTCCGAAGTAGAATTCTAATCAAATGAGTTTGATAATAGTCCAATAGTTGGCAGATAAGGGGAGCTGCAGGTTGGGGTTAGAGGGTGCAGGAGGGCTGGAGGTCTCCTGCCTCCCTACTGTGGGTCCCACTGTCCCTTCACACACCCCACCCCTCTCCCCTCCCCATCGCCCTCTCCAAGAACCAGTCAAGCCAGGTTCCCAAGCCCTTCTCCCTCCAGCACCACCACCTCGGCCTTCTACAAGCATGGAAGTCTGGGTTGCAGGCATGAAAGGCAAAAAGCTGGATTCTAGTCCCCGCTAAAACCAGGCATAGCAAGTCAGGGACCCAAGTCAGGGACCCAGGTTTCCATGTGCTCATGCAGCTGAGAACTTGGGAAGATGAAAATTCAAGAAGGCAGGGGTACCATTATTTTGCAGTGACAATGTTTATTGAGAATGGCTCATTACAAACAAAATATATTTATGTATAAAATCTCTGCAATGCAAAAGATCCCTTTTGTCCCTGTGTGGCTGGAGTGAACAAAGTCAAAAGTCCAGTGTGGCTTCAGGGGCTACACTGGGCCCCCAGTGTGCAGACAGGAGGTTGTGGGTACCATGGGCTGTGGACAGAAGCTCCTGATGTCTGAACTCTTCCAACCTGCCTTTCACGTGCGCAAGAACATGACACAGTGTTCACACAACACTCCCTCGGCAGCTGGCACCACCTCAGGGACAGGCAGCTTTTCTCGTACCCTTTCAGGTGGGTGACACCTAGCTTGTGGCTTGCCCTGAGAAGCCTCATCCAAGGCCAGGGGCTGCTTCAGTGTCCCATGATGGACTGAGGTATTGTGACCACTCTCCTGGTAGAGGCTGTTCCCACACCAGCCCTACCAGCACATCTGCCATGTCTCACTCATTCAGCCACTGTGGAAGCTTGGCTACCTCACTGCTTCCCTCTGTATAGGTATTTTCACCATTTTCCCTGGATTCTCCTGAGGATGCCCAAACCCCCCACAGCTGTCACACGAGGTACTTGTGGAACTGGAGTTCCTCAGGATCCTGGGCCACTCATCATTAAGGCGATAGGAGACCAGTCTGAGAGCAACACTAGTCTCTGAAACCCAGGGCAGCTGCCCAGTTACCAGTGCCTCCCTCTTGACCCAAGGCTGCCTCTGGTGTTGAGAAGCAATCGGCTGGGTAGTCTGACAGCCCTGTATACAGGGCCAAATGCAGCATCTCAGAGCAGCCTCCTTGGGATAGGGCCAGTAAGTTGGGTGGAGGCAGACGCTGAGTGTGGCTTAGAAAGGGGCAGCAGCTGCCACTGCATCATGCCTTCAGTACTGTTAGACCAAGATGCAGGGATGCAGGGGCGGTATTATCTGTTGGGGAATTGCTGGTTCTTTGCCAGAGGCAGCCCCCTTGGAAATGATCAATTTCCCTTATTTTTCAGGTGCAGACCTGGGTTCAAGACCCAGCACTACTACTTCCTGGCCAACTCCACAGACTGGACCAGCTTCTGTCTGTAAGGTATGGGCCCTGATACTCAGTCTGCCTCAAGGTGAGTCCCCTTCTCTTTGGAAGAGACATTAAGGTGGCTTACCTGGCCCATAAAAAGAGGTGTCAGTGGTTCCAAAGTACCTGCAAACTCACTATTATTATCTTACTTGGGGGTCATTTGAGAATCAAATCCTAAATGTGAAAATTTAAATCTCAAAAAAAAAAAAAACAAAAAACCACCACAAACATCTCCACCCTCCACCAAAAAAAGAAGGGGGTATGGAGGGGGGCAGCGAGGAAGAGCTCCAGTCCATGATTCATGCCACATGATCCTGGGCAAGTACTACCTTTCACTGTCAAAACAGAAGAGAACCAACATTATGTGCAAAAGTGGGTGGGAGGCCACAGGCCTCCCCGACATTGCTTCAGGAGCACAGCACCCAGTCCTGGAGACTCTGGGCTCCTCCCACTCAGGCTATTGTCATAGGCCTCCAGGGTGTGTCCACGGGGAGGGGGGAATTCTTGGGGCTCAGACGGATGTTCCTGGTCCTTGGTCAGGCATCCTGGAGCACGCTCAGCACTGCCAGTTGGCAGGATCCAGGAACCCTACCTGCCAAGCCTGCCTGCCTAGTACCCTCCACCCTAGAGGGCTGAGTGCCTGGAGGGTTGGGGAGGGGGAGTTTCAGAGTCCTTTTTGCCTGAGGTCCAGCCCTCCTCAGGGCCAAGAGGCAGTGCAACCAGTTCACTAGGGCCCACTGGGAAGGGCAATGGCATCCATCAAAGGGGACAAGGGGTCTGCAGCACTTCCAGGGAGAGGGCTGAGGACGGTTCCGACCAAAGTCTGGAGCAATACACAGCCCCGGGGGTTGGCTACAGTCTCCAAACATACAGATGCTGTCCTGACAAGTGGCATCTCCCTTTAGCGTTCAGTCCCTGGTCTGCAGGGACATGGGCTCTGGTCTCCCCGACCTCCCCAGGGTCTGGAGCATGGAAAAGAAGGGCACCAACAGGCTGGATATCCCCTGGGCTTGGAAGGAGTCAGGCTCAAAGTCCGGGGGAGGCTCCGCACAGACATGCTGGAAATGCCTCCAGCTACTGGCAGGTGTGGTGGTTAAGTGGGTGGCATAATGACATTCAGCAGTGGCAGATGAAGCAGGCATGTTGTGGTCTCCCCAAGTTCCTGGTGCTTCATCACACTGGCCGAGGCAGTTCTGCATTACAGCTCCAGCAGCCCCAGGCCGGGGTCAGGGCCTCCTGAGTAGCCTCAGCTGGACAGGGCAGGGTAGGATCCAAGGGCCTGGGGACACCAGGCTCCTGATGTCAGCTGTCCAAGTAGACAAAGAGGATGTCCTCATCTGTGCCATAGCTAGTTCTGGCCTCCTCAAAGTTACTAACACTGGTGCTGCACATTCCTGCTGGGGGTGAGAGGACAGAGGGGTCAGCAGGTACAGGAAGAACACTGGTTTCACGGCCCAGGGAGCCAGGAAAGGTCTGACTATGTTGCACCTGCCTGACTACCTCTCCCTGCTCGGGCCTTCCAGCCCTGGCAAGTCCTCCTTGCCTACTACAGCCTTCATCGTTTCATTCTCAGAGCTCCCCCAGTTCAGCAGATGGATAAAGTGAGGCCCAGACAGGGGATGGTCAGGGCCATGCAGGGTAGGAATGTGAGTTGTTCCCCTTCCTCAGTCTGGAGCAAGTGCTGAGGCTGTCCTGGGAGAGGTGGAATCAGGGACAGCAGGGAGGAAACTGCAGTCTGTGCAGCACGAGATAGTGAGCTGGGGCCCTGGGCCACGGCACGGGGCTAGCAGGGTAGGCAGGACAGATGGCTGGGCCTGGCCTGGGTGTGGAGGAGGCCATGTGTCCCCGGGTCTGTGGTTGGTTTGCTATATGGTTGGGGGGTAGCATGAATGACATGAGCCCAGGAGGAGTGGAGGCTTTGGGGAGAGGTGAGGAGGAAGATCTTGGCCACTCCACGCTGAAAGGGAAGGAGCGATGTGGGCAGGGCATTTGGGAACTTGAATGCAGACCCTTGCCCACCATCCTTCCTGCCATACTCACGATCAGCGTAGGCTGGGTTGTTGTAGAAGATGCAGCCTGCAGTCCGGTTGTAGCCACGCAGCACGATGAAATGGCCCTGGTACTCTGGTGTGCGGCAGAAGCAGCGGTGGCTGCTGGGGGTGAAGCAGCAGTACTTGACGGGGCTAGAGCAGAGGTCGCAGTGCAGCACCCCTGAGTTCACCAGCACAATGGCCACGTGGCCCTGTGCCAGGTGTGCCTGGATGTCCTGTATGCTCACCGTGCTGTGAACAGGAGGAGGGTCAGCTGGTGCCCAACTCTCAAGGGGACCCCTGCTTGGACCCCAGTTCTTCCCTATGTCACAAAGCTTGGGAACAATGCTTCTCTCTGCCTGAGCTCCTTGCAGGTAGGACTGTCCTACTTTGACATGGTGGCCCAGGACCACCGAGGACACTGAGGATGCCAAATGACAAGCTGGCCCTGGCAGGCTCATCACAGGGTGGCAGGTCACCTCCCAACAAGTCCTAGCCAAACACCATGAGAGCAGCACACGGGACTCCCACCTCCTGACCTGGTCGGTGAATTCTTTTTGCCAATTGCCCTCCTTGGTCCTTTTCCCCAAATCGTGTGTTTTACACTGGAAAGTTATCAGCCCAATTTGATTCCCAAATCTGAGCCAAACACGTCTTTACCAGGTTTAAAGCCGAGTGCTTTTTAGAAAGGGCTCCTTTTTTTCTTAAAGCTCCTTGTCACAGAAGGGGCTGCCAAGGCAGGGCTGATCAGCACCACCTCCAGGGGGAACCCCCAGTTCAGCAGAGTTGGCTGCCGGGAACAAACCCGAGGCCAATTCTTAAGCACTACTCCATTTGTTGTCCCCCAGAAGGCAGCAAGTTCAAGTAAGAATTTAAAAGGGGAGAAGGACTGGAAGGGGGTCCCCAACACCAGAGAGAGGCACAACTATCCTCAATGGTGGGGATGCTCACCCACTTGGGTCCTCCTTCCTGAGAAATCTCCTCAGGAGTGGCAATGAGAGCACCACGTGGCCTGGTCCACAACTAAGGCACATTGGGGTTTGGTTTGTGGCTTCAGCCCAAGAAGACACGCCATTTTACCATTTGGTCTTAGAAATGAAATGACTGGCTGAGTTTACAGTGGGAACCGAGAACCCATGGCACAAGAGTGGGATTTCAGTTGCAGGAAAAGAGGGGCTCTGTTGGAAGGAAAAGCAGCCAGTTTCATGGAATAGTCTGGTGTGGAGGTGCTGGGTTGAGATCATGGCACTGCTGAGACGCTGGCGGTGAGTGTGGAGAGCTCATGCTGTTTTTCCCATCCTCAGTTTCCTCGCCTGAGGAATGCGGACAGTACCAGCTTCCCACTCAGTAAGACAGCAGCTGTCAAGTGCCACTAAATAAACATCTGCTGCTGTTCCTTCTAAAGGTGCTCATGTGGTGAAAGAATGCATGAACACCTTCCCCCCATTTTCCAAATCACCCATCATTGGCTACATTGTGTTAATAATGAAAACTGACATCTATAAAGAAAAGGGAGAACTGGGGCCTCCCTGGTGGCGCAAGGGGTTAAGATGCAACCTATGAAGCTGTCTGCAGCCTCTGCAGCATGAGTTCGATTCCACGGCCGGCCAGGGAGCTACCCACATGGTGCAGCAGACCTCTCCTGTCTCGCCCACTGCTCCCCTCAGCAGTGTACTTTGATCAATATGCCTGTTCTGTTCCCCACTGTCTCTGGTGGATCCTCTCACCCCCCCAACACCTCTGGCCTGTACCCCAGCTCTTGTATGCATAAATAAATAAATCTTAAAAAAAAAAAAAGAAAAGAAAAGGGAGACCTGAGCTGAATGGTCTAGGGAAGCATGGCTGGGAGCTGAGCCAGCAAGCCTGAGGGAGCCAGCAAGCCAGTGAGCCTGGAGAAGTAGTCTCAGGGACTGCCTGAATCTGGGTCCCTACCTCCAACTCTACCCCCATCTAGATAGAAAGGGAAGACCCATGTAAGAGCACCAAAGCCCATGGGAAGATCTGGGAGCCGGGCCTTTCTAGGCAACCTATAATGATGTCCCTATACCCTCTAACCCCATGCCAGCATACTTCTCTGCTACCACATCATCACTTGGGCCCCATGCCACCATTCTATGAGCAGACCAAAGGCTGGCTAGAGTCTGTCTTGCTCACCTGCCTCTCCAGTCTCTGCTCAAGACCCACTCAAGACCAGGGCTTTGGGTATAGTAAGTCAGTAGCCCACTGGTCCCATTTTATGGATGAAAAAACCAAGGTGGTGGCAAGTCACTGCCCACAGCCACCTGGGTAGGAAATCCACTCGGCCTGACTTACAAATCCCTAGTCTTTCTTGCAGGCCATCTTGAGGCCTCTCCCTCTGCAAGTCCGGGTGAGCAAGTACAAAAAGGAAGGCGCAGGGAGGCTCACCATTTCTCCACCAGCACCTTGCAGGCCTTGGCTTGTGCGAAGAGCTGATTTACTCGGGTCTCCTCTGTGTCAAAGTGTTTCCTATAGAAGGACTGAAGAGAAAAGGTCAGGCTGGAGGATGTCACCCATCTGGGCTACCCTCGTCTCTTTTGTAAAGATCATGTGATAGAGTCAGAGACAGCGAGAGAATGGAGATGGCACAGGCAAGGGAGACGGCGCAGGCAGCATGCCTGGGGAGAAAGCTGTGGTTCTCCCAAGCTGGCAGAATGGCTAGTCAGAGTGCACAGCAGATGGGTGGGCAGTCAGAGTCAGGTTGGATCCCTCGAGGAGGGTAGTCACACCTGGGCTTATATACCTGGTATGTATGAGTAGAAGTCTGTAGTAATGAGTAAAAGGGCAGTTAAATCCACCTGGACATTCAGCCAACATTCAGCTAAGCCGGGGGAAGTCCATGAAACATACATTAATGCAGTGGTCTTAAAAGGGTCAGAGTCCCTGTGGGGGAAGCAGAAAAGGCCCTTTTCTCTGCCTCATGGTTACATGGTCAGAATGTTCTAGTCTGGAACATTCAAAGGAGAAGTTGACCAGCACTGGCCACCATGTAATAACCTCTTGCCAACAAGGGCAGCAGTGACTCTGTTCTGCCAAGTTTCAGAGTCTGGGACAAGATCTGCCTTGGGGCAGGCAAGACCAGCTCTAGTTGTGCAGGGAGGGAGACTACATTGGTGTGTTGGCGAGGCGACATCAGCATTTTTTCTCATAAAGAAAACATTTTGCGTTCTTTCCCAGAATACCAATTACTCAGCTTGAAGCTGGTTGTCTTGTGAAAGGAAGAAAAGGGGCAAGTGATGGCCGACAAGGTCAGAGCAATGTGCATTGAGGTCCCAGGTCCTGCCTTGTGCTGAGGGGCAGCAGGGAAGGGCACAGGAAGACAGCCTAAGAGGCATCTCTGTATAGCCTCAAGAGCAGTCAAAGGCAGGCAGGAGGTGCTGGGAAGGATCCAGCTCTCTGCAGAATCCTTGGGCATCAGAAACCTCAAGGTCACCTGGTTTGACCAGCTCCTAAGTCCTGCCTACAGGAGATCTGACGCTGCTCCCTGGTCTCTACACATCTGTGTGCTATCCAGGTGCACAGGTACTTAGGCTGACTGCACCTTCTTGCAATGCCTAGACTGGTGCAGGCTAGTTGCTCACCTGGTTTTTGTAGCCCTTGTCAACGCCCAGGGTCTGGGTACAGAAGCGGTGCCTCACACCAAAGTGGCGCATCAGGTAGGCCAGGTCAATGGTCCAGATGCTCCTGGTCAGCTGCAGCTCCTGCAGGGCGCTCTCAAATTCACTGTCGTCCAGCTGGCCCAGGTACCTGTGGGCAGTCGGGCTGTTGAAGTTGGCTCATCCCCCAGGGGAAGCTGACTGGGTCACTTCCTACCTGTGGGCCCATCAGCCACTGTCAGACCCCCCTACTCCCCATAAGTCTCCAACCTTGTATCTCCCACTCTCGTGCTGCCTGGGAGCCACACTGGCTCTGCCAGGGGCCTAGATTCTTGCAGGTTGTGCAACTTGAAGCAAGTCACCACTTTCGCTGGCCTCACTAGCTCATCTCTAAGTTGAGGTACTAGGACCACATTCATGGTTTTCTAAGTTTTAGTCAAAGAATCCATTCTTGAACACTATCTTGCCTGGAATTCTGGATGTAAAATGGGCAAAGGAGAGGCCTTCACCAGGCAATTCCAGGCAGTCCCCTGAAAACTCTCCTGCAAAGTGATGATTATTGTGCCTCCAGGCTCTGTGGTCAAGGTTCTTGTGATGCTCACGTAGCCGCAGCTCTGAGGTTGGGTCCCCAGCGACTCTGTCTCCCAGGAGCCCAAAGCTAGAGGCTGAAGACCTTTTGTACCAATCATGGGGTCACTCTCTGGGCCAGACCTAGGCACCTGGAACTTCCTGGTCATTCCCAGAATAAAGACCTGGAAGACCAGGTCCACCACTTGCTCCATTTTGCAGATGAGACCGAGCCTGGATGGAAGCTGGGCCATTCTCCCAATCCCCAACCAAAGAGAGTAACGTGAATGATGAATCCCACCCAGATCTCTCCGGATCCCCCTAGATCTCTCCAAACCAGACCAGGTGGTGTGGAGGGCAAGGGCCTGGGCTACCCACTCACCGTAAAACCATTCTGGAGCAGGCTAGGCCGCAGTCCCAGTGGTAGAGCTGCTGGATGATGGGTACTGGCAGCTGCACAAAGTCCCCTGCATGGAAACACATGGTGGTCACAAACCCCTGGTGCTGTACCCACTGCTGCCCCTCCTGTTTTAGCCATGATCACTGGGTCCTGTATAGATCCTGTAGAGGCTGTTCAAAGATGGGCTCACAGCATTTCAGGCCTCCCAATCCTTCCTCCTTACAACAACAGTGATCTCCCCAAAACACCAGTCAGAGCAGCTCAGTCTGACTCAAAATCCTCCAATGCTATCTCTTAGGATATCACTTTCAAGGGTGCTGCCCCAGCACCCCTTGCCTCTTTGCCTCTCTTGGCTTTCATCAGGCACCCTCCAGATAGAATCTTATGTCCCAGGGCCTTTGTACACCTGCTCCCTCTGGGCACTTCTGGTCTCCCAGATGCCTGAGCTAACTCCGACCTGAGAATGTCACTTCTCCATGATGCTCCACTCATGCCCCCACTGTGTGAACTCAGGCTCCAGAGAGACAGGGCATGAGAGGTACTTATCGGATATTCATGTCCGAATTCATGAGGCCCCTGGATGACTGTCTGACTCCAAACCCCCTAGGGCCACCATGGTATGAAGACCATGGTTAGGAGGAGACTGTCACAAAATCTGTTCAGGGAATGCTATCCTAAGCGACCTCTCACTCTCTCTTTGCCAAGTGGCGAGGCAGAGCAGAAAGGGTTCAATTTAGACATTCTAGCCCACCTCTGCCACGGTGGGTGGAGCAGCTGAATTCCTCTTGCTGAACTAAGTCTGGTCATCTCTAAAGCGGGGACTTTGGTCCACTTTGAGCATGTTTAACAAATATTTCCTAAGCGCCTAGTAAGTGCCTGACCTGGAGATATGACGGTCAGTGACACAGGCCCCTGTCTGGTGCACAGCAAAAACAAGCAAGCATATGAGAAAAATGGAAGGGTGGGCTAGGGGGAATGGTAAGGGTGTATCTTAGAGAGGAAAGAATCAGGGAACACAAGGCAAAGGGGGTACAGAATATGCTGAATCCCCGAGGTAGAGGCGAGTCAGCACGTTGCCCACAGGACCTTCCAACTCTAAGATCCCATGAATCTGGACAAAATTCAGTCTAAAGAACCAAGAGGGACTCCCTACTGTTCATCTTAGTGGTTCCTGGGACCTCTCTTGAACCTGAGGCCAGCCTGTACAGAATTGTCCCTGGAGTCCACCAGCCATGCCAGCCCTGGTGCCCACTGTAGGTGCCACCTAGAGGGTCACTTACTAGCCCTGGAGTCCATCCTGGCCTTCTCACCTGCTAGACATGTCTGGTCAGTCCCTTGCCTGGAGTGGGCCCCAAGTTCCTGCTCTTCTACATCTAAACTACCCACCCACCTACACACACACACTAGTCTTCAAGGTTTGGATCTGTGACTGCTCTTTCGCTAAGTTGTACTGGCCTCTCTCCCCCTACTCCTTACCTCCAAGGGCCTATGGAAGGCAGGGGTGAGTGCAAGCTACATGCCACCTAAGTCACCTTAGGTGCCTGACCTCTCTCTACTTGTCTGGGCCTACTTCCTCTTCTGCTCTTGCCCTGCTTCTAAAAGAAACCCAGGCCCCTCATTCAAAATCTCTGCATATTCACCACCTCCCACTCAGATTCAGTCCTGAGGGCTCAGGCCTGCCTGACTCCTGCCTGTCTTCTGCCTCAAATTCCACCCTTCCTCTCTCATCTCTGTATACAGCAGCCACAGGGATCCCATCCGTAGTTTCTTTTTGCTCAGGATAACATTCTCACCCTTTACCATGACCTGTAGGGCACTGCCCAACACAAGGCGCACCAACTTCACCTTGGCCCTCTACTGTAGCTCAACTTGTTCCAGTAACCCTGGAAACCCATCAAGCCTCATTCCACTCTAGGGCCTTTACATACTTAGCTCTCTGTCTGCAACTCTTTCCTTTGTGTTCTCAAAGTTGCCCCTTTTCATCACTCAGGTTCCAGTTCAAAGTCTCTGAGCAGCTTTCTCTGACTATGCCTTGGGGTGGGGTGGGAGAGCCCTCCTTCACAGCATCCGGTTTGTTTCCTTTACAGTACTTTGCAAATGTAACCAAAAAAAAAGCTAGTCTGTTTCCCAGCTATATATAACCTATCTGAGGACAGAGAAGTTGCTAATCTTGTTCACTGTTGTTCCCAGTGCCGCTGGTGGTTAATAGTAACTCAATGAACATTTGTTGGGGGAAATGAATTTATTGAGCACTCCCACACTTTGTCCTCTGGTGATTCATGTTCCAACAAGTGTTCCCAAAGGGCCGAGTAGAGGGAGAGTTGTATAAATACAGTTTTTGTCCCCTCATGGTGGAGTGCCTCCCTTCTCAAGAACCCCTTACTATGGCCATAAATTAGTGCCTTTTTGTTTTTCTCTACATACACAGGTGACTTACTCCTCAGTCTTTGCTCTTGTATATCCCTTAGTCTGGAATGTTGTCTCTGAACTTCCAATTCCTTTCTCTCTCTGAGCCCCGAGCCCCTCAATAGAGAGTACTAGAGATGATGTCTGCTTTCCTCACTGAACAGAAATCCTCAGTGGCAGGTGGGGATGGCTTACATTCACCTCCTCCTAGTCCTCAGCCGAGAGCAGGCACTCAAACATGTTTGGTGAATAGAAGTCTTTTCCGAAAAGGTCTTATTCCTTGAGATGCCTTGGGCCTACTTATCACCACTATGCCCACCCCCACCCCGTCCCCTCGGTCTTCCAGACTCTGTTCATAGCTCCCTGACCTTGGGCTCTGACACCAACTAGCTGGGTTGTCTCTGTCTGTGCGATATATGTGGCATAGGATAGATATTCTTCAGGGCCCTTGGGAACGCCACTATCCTTCTGCTCCTCCTCTTGCCTTCCTCCCCAGAACCCCTTTGATCCTAGAGCCTGACAAGGCCTAACATCCCCACGTGGCCATCCCCTGTCTTGGCATTGGCAGTCAGCCCAAAGGGACCCTGAGATGCTTCTGTGGGGGGTGATAAGGGTAGGCGAGGCCTTCCAAGCCCAAAGCCGTTGCCTGAAGTCGATGTCTAGAGTCAAGGGACTGTCCTACCTGAGAGGCCCTAACCTGAGGCCCTCCAGAGGCCTCCCTGGAGGGCCCTAACCTGGAATCACTTGGCAGCTGTCACCAAGGAAGTAGGCAACTCACTGACCTTGATAATTAACCCCTCTGAGCCTCAGTCTGTTCATCTGCAGAAGTGAATATAATGATATTCTGGGATTATTATGAGGATTAATGAGGCACTGCAAATGCCTCATACAACTTAATGCAGTGCTTGCACATAAAAAGTCCCTATAAATGTGAGCATCCACTGAAGCTCAGAAAACCAAGTGCCTAGTGGGCCAAGATCACAGAGTTGGAAGTTTAGAGATGCAAATCCCAGGACAGCATAAAACCCTCCTCCATGCTGCAATCACAAAAGACCAATCCCTATGTGTGACACTATGGTCCCACTGATACCTTAGGATTGGGGTCCCATATACTCATGACATCTCCCATAAGATGGCTCCTCACTTTTCTTTACTAGCACTTTCTCTTTCTCATCAACCCTGTGCCTTAAGCAGAACAGGAATCACTACTTTCTCTCTCCTGCACTTAGAGAAGCAAACTGAGGGCCAATCTTGGTCTCTGCCCTAAAAGAACTGAGGTCATCTCAGACAGAAGGAACAGCGGGTGAAGAAGAGCAGCAAGACAAAAATGCTGAGTCTGGGAGGCTGAGGTTAAAAGAAGCGGCCCTCCCATTGCTCTGTGCTCTCAGGCAGTTCCCTGCCCTTCTAGGCCTCAATTCCCCCACAGTTCCCTGAGGGATCGGAATCTCCCCAGGTGGCTCCAGAACGACTTGAAGCTCCTGGGTAAGGTGGCACCTGCTTACAACCAAGACCCTCCCCTCGTGACCACTGTAGGAGCTGACAGGGGGTTCCAGCCTGGGAATATTAAGAAATTCCAAGTGACCCGAGCTGAGGGGTTGGCAGGGCCAAGGCGAGTGTGTACACCTGGCCAGGTTTCGCCTGAAGCTTTATAGCTCAGGCAGAGGTGGCGGTCAGTCCAAGGTCGCGCGGTCGGACCCTGCCCCGCGCTAGGGCGGGGTCCCTCTAGTTCCCCGGGGTGAGGGCTGAGGCCTAGGGAAGCACTAACCGGGCTCGAGCTGCTGCCCCGCTGCCTCCGCCTCCGTCCTCATGACCCAGGCGGCGCGGGGCGCCCATGGCCCTGGCCCGGCGCCGGCAGCAGCTTCGGCTTCGGCAAGGGCGGGAGAGGGACCGCTGCGCGTCGGGTTCCTCCGTGGCCACAGAGACCGCGGTGAGCAGGGGAGGCGGTGGCTGGGCCATCCCAAGCCCCGCCCCGGCCCTTCCAAGCCTCCGACTCGGGGCCCGCCCCTTCCTCACGCCCCGCCCCTTCTCGGGCCTCGGGTTTGGGGACCCCTCCCCTTCCCCCCCGGACTACAATCCTAGAGGCCCAGCCCCCTAAACCCGTCCCGGCCATTCGCTGTCTCGGTTGCTGGCGACCACGCCCCCCCCGCCAGCCCCGGGCGCGGCCGCGCAGACCCGCCCCACTCCGCGCCGGGCCCCGGTCCGAGCCCCGCCCGCAGCCCCGCGCTCCGCGGACTCTGCCCGCGGCTTCCTCGGCAGGCTCCGCCCCTGCTCCGCCCGGCTCCTTTGCCAGCGGCAGGCTAAGGCGCGGCTCTTCCCGAAACGCCGCGCGGCTCCAGGAGACCTCGCTCTCCTCCGACTCCCGTGAGGGCCGACTTCGGGCCGGCCCTCGCTCTACCCCGTGCCTCAGTTTCCCTGTGCGTAGAGGGAGAGACCTCGCCTCGCTTCAGGGGACCCCTTACCTGGCGGTGCCGGGGCCCAAGCGTTAAATTGTGAGGGCAGAGCCTGGCCCTCGGCCCCATCGCCTGCCGCCCGGGATCCAAGGGCCCAGGCCCCAGACTCCCGCCTCGCGATCCGACCCGGCCCCGGCGTGGAGTGTCTGGCTACGCGAGCCCCCCTCTCCCCTCGCCGGCCCGAGGGTCGGTGTTTCCGGCGGCAACTAGGTCCGGTCATCAGCCTTCTTCCGGGGCCGGAACTATCGTAGCCGAGCAGACGTTTCCTAGCCGGCGCAGTGAGGAGGAAGCAGAGGCGAGACCGCGCTGAACACCAGGAAAAGGAAGGGTGCAAGCTCTGCGCGCGGCATTTTGGGAACGCGTGGTGTTCTGGGAGCTCCTGGCCCGCCATTCGCTCGTTTCACGCCTTCGCAGTTGCTTGAGTCGCTGCCGCACGAGAAAAAAGGAGGCCGGATCCGGTGAGGAGAGGCTGGGGGCTGGTGAGGGTAGGCCGAGGCACTCGTGAGAGGTCTGGGGCCGGAGAAGGACGCGCTTCGGAGGAGCCCTGCGCAACTGGGGGAGGGAAAAGAGCGGGAAGCCCGGCCATCCAAGTGTCTGCCTGGCCTGGAAGTGAGTTCTTTAGCTTCCCCCCCAGGGTACGTGCGCGTCACTTTCTGAAACTCCCCAGGTTAGTGTTTTTCGAAGCATCCCGGCAGTAGCCTTGAAATAACTTGTGGTTGCTACCTCCTTCGCCTAAGTCCTATTAGGGTTACAGTTTTCAACGTTCTTTGCAGCTCTGCCTCCACCTACCTTCTAGATACAGAAGTTTTATCAAGTGTCCCTGCTTGTAAACCATTCCATCCAATTTTCTAAGTACTGCCACACTTTGACTGGATCGTGCCTGTGTATAATCCTACTGTGGTTTTCCACTGTCTGCAAGATAGGTGCTTACCTTGGTTATGGTTTTTGTTGCAAAAAAAATCATTTCCTGCTTATAGTGAAGCCGGTATGCGCTGTTCCCTTGAACCGCCATAGGTTCTTGTCCCACGAAGCAGTAAAAAGAAATTCGCAGACATTTTAGATAAGTAAGCAGAAAGAAGCAAACTTTAAGAAAGTAAAGTTTATTTAAAGGAAGAAAGTAAGGACTTCCAAGTACGCTGTACTTGGGAGGGGCAAGGAAGCTGTTTTGGGCCTGTGTCTAGGGATATTTAAACCTTTTTTCCCCCTCTATTCTAAAATCTCATCATCCTATTTTGTGCTTGGCTCTTCCTCCTAGTGGCTATACTCCCCTGGGCAGATGTGCCCATTTCCCTAGTCTTTAATCTTAGAGTTTCTCTTTTTATCTCCCCTGTCCAAGGTCTCCTAAAATTTACTGCCTGGGGCTCCCTGGTGGCGCAGGGGGTTAAGATACAACCTATGAAGCTTACCGCAGCCACTGCAGCACAAGTTCGATCCCCAGCCAGGGAGAAACCCACATGGCAAAACAGACCTCTTCTGACTTGCCCGCTGCTCCCCTCAACAGTGTATTTCAGTCAATCTGCCTGTTCTGTTCCCCTTTGTTTCTGGTGAATTCTCTCACCTGTGGCCTGTAAACTGCCCCCCTTCCTGTATGCATAAATAAATAAATCTTTTTTTTAAAAAAATTACTGCCTGCACTGTCCCTGAAGCTGCCTACTTAACCCTAACTTGCCCTGGGACTTGACAGCATACAGTCACTATGTCACTTTGATATTTTCTCTTTCACTTTCCTTGGTGAAGTAAGCAGAAAAATCAAAGGGCACTTAATGGGCTGAATTGAATGCACAGCCTCTTCTACTCTTGATTGTTCAGTTTGTGTCTCCACTACCCAGGTCTGTACACAGATGTGCCCAATAGTAGCAATGCATGAGTGTTGAGCACTTGAAATTGAGGGACTGAATTTTTAATTTGAATTTTATTTCCATTTAAGTTTAACATAAACAGCTACATGAGCACAGTGACCAGATTTTATTATGGGTTAACAAAGGGGTGTTACCCACAATTATGAGTTGACAGATACATTGTACTATACATACATTCTAACTCTCTTCCCCAACATATACATGGTGTTGTTTAATGCTTATTTGATGAAGTTAAAGAGAGAAATGGTAGCAGGGAGGAAAATGGGAAACACTTTTTGTTCCCACTAGCTTTCCTTCTATCCAGCCCCCACAGTCCTCCCCTCATCTTGCATGTATTTGCCAGATGGGTTCACATTCCTTTTTCTAAAGAAAATACAACTTTGGCATTTTTGCTAAGTTTTATGGCATATTAGGGCCTTAGGGGAGACTTGGTATATTCTACATGCTTTCATGTTCTGAGAGATGAACTAATTGTTGTCTTTCTCTTATTGTAGAACTTTCTTCCTGCCAAGATGTCTATTGGTGTGCCAATTAAAGTCCTCCATGAGGCCGAGGGCCACATTGTGACTTGTGAGACAAATACCGGAGAAGTATATCGTGGGAAGCTTATTGAAGCAGAGGACAACATGAACTGCCAGGTATCCTGCTTTACACGTGAAGCTGTGGGGGGAGCTTGCACCTTTGTTTTGGAGGATAGAAAAGTGGCGATTACAGGACTTTTTAAAGATATTCTCATTCACCAGTTAATTATTGATTGCCTAATGTGTGCCAGCACTGTTACTAGTGCTGGGGAAGTGGACGTAAATAAGAGTTAATTAAAGTTTGGAGTATTTAACCTTATACTTTGTTTTCTTCATCCCACAATTTTTTCTCCCATGTTTTGGGAACTTGTTTAAGAGAAATGGTGCTACTCTCTTTGGTAGAATCTTCTAGGTTCAGAACCATTATCCATTTGCCTGCACGTTTACATAATGCCTTTCATTTAGCATAATCTTCCACTCACATGGTGCTTTAGTTTCCATTTTTCTTGGGGGAGGAATTGTTTGATTACAGGCACACCTTTGAGATACTGGTTTGGGCTCTGGGCTGTGACAATCAAACAAGTCATACAGATTTTTCAGTTTCCCAGAAAAGTTATATTTACACTAGAGTTTAGCATATTAAATGTGCGGTAGTGTCATGTCTAAAAAATTTTTTTAATATGCAGATATGTTTTATTTGCTAAACAAAAAGGTAATCACATCTGAGCCTTTAGCAAATTACGTTCTTTTTACTGGTGGAGGGTCTTGTAAAAAATAAAAACTAAAAAGGCAGCATCTGCAGCACACAATCAAGTGAGATATGCCTGAAGAGCAATTACCCGTGAGGTGAGCAGATTTGGTGATAGTTTTCTCATCCATAAAATTGGCAGAATAAAGTTAGAGGACTTGTCTACTAAATGTCACTCTGCTAATGTAAGTGCTCCAGCAGCTTCCTGATACAATGCCCTTCTTTTGACACTTATTTTGCCTTTCACTGATAGTGACTTAAATTTGTACAGCATTACTTTACAAAATGTATCAGCACACTTCTTTAAACAGTAGGTTAAGAGCTTGGGCTTTGGAATTGGAGCTATGGGCTTGAATCCTAATTGTATGACCTTAGGCATATTAATCATAGTTTTCCTCTACCTGTAAAATGGGGTGTGGTGTTATTTTGTGTCCTAATACATAGATGCTAATACTGGGTCAGTTGTGCAAGAGATTTATTGGGGGAAATGACAATAACGGAGAGAGAACAGGAGAACTGGGATGCTGGGCTAACCCTGATGAAAGGAGAGGGGTCAGGAAGGAAGATTGGGAGGAACCTTAGACTGTAGCATATCTCTGAGGCAATCCAGGCAGAGGTTGCTTGTTAAGAATCTAGTATGAGGCAGAAGTGGCCTAGTTCTAGTACCCCCCACTGTGGTCCATCACTGACTGGCAGCCTGGGGAGAGAGTGGCCTCAGGTGAATGCTGTGGATCCCCAAGGTAGTGGCTAGAGACTGTTGACTCCCTGCATTCCTCACAGCCTGCTCTCCCTTGAAGGGAGATCTGAGCAGTGCATTTCCAAGTCTACTATGGGGATAACATCCACAGCCAGGACTGTCTCAAAGATCAGATGAGTTATGTGTGTGCAGCATTTCAGCATCTTGTCAGCATGAGATACCTGTTAAGACCAGAGAGGTAAATGTCCTAACTAGCCATTCTTTCAGTGTTCATTTATTTGTGATTTCTTTAGAGCTTTGAGCGTCATCTTCCTGCCAGGTTGACCAACTGTGGCAGTTCTTGGCATTTATGGAGGTTAGACATCTGATAGCTATAGAGGGCTCTCTTAAAGGCCTGTGGGGCAGAGACCACCTTTACTTTTGTGATGAAAAACTAGTCCGATCAGTCCTCTTTTTTTTGTTGGCTTAATACATCTTCATTTTAAGGTACTTTTGTTTGGTGAGTACAGGGTAAGACAGGATAGTGGATCTGAATGAGTTTACTCGACTGTTTATTTGGACAGGTTACTGAGCTTCCCTGGCCTCAGGTTTCCCATCTATACTGTAAAGATGTCTGACCAGATGATTTGGTGGTCTTGCAGATGCAACCAGTGAGTTTATATGCAAGAGTATCCATTGCAGTGGTATTTTTCATAATGAAAACAACCAACATTTGTGACTAAACAAATTAAGGTATGTTACAAGGAATGGTAATCATCCAATAAAATAGTGTAGAACAATATTTAATGTCATAGGAAAATGCTGTTGATCTAAGTGGAGAAAAATACAAAATTCCACAGTGTCTTCCTGGTTTTATAAAAGAATGAACAAAGAGGCCTTCCTGGTGGCCTAAAGGTTAAATCTCTGCTACCACACTGAAGGTCCACCTTAATAGCCTGAGTTGATTTCCCACCAGGGAGCTAACCCTCATGGTGCAGCAGACCTCTCCTGTTTTGCCTGCTGCTCACCTTAGTGGTATATCTCAGTGGATCTGCCTGTTATGATCCCTACTCTATCTCTGATGAATCCTCTCACCACCACCACCACCACCACACCTCTGGCCTGTACCCCAGTTCTACACAAAAATAAATTTTTCTTAAAACGTACAAACAAGGTATAAATGATACATAAAATGTATTTAATACACAATATACTTCCTACATAAGAATGTAGTAAAGAATTTTTTTCAGAGATTTATTTGTGTATGCATACAAGAACTAGGGTACAGGCCAGAGGTGTGCGGGGGGCGGGGTGGTGAGAGGATTTACCAGAGACAGAGTGGGGAACAGAACAGGCAGATTGACTGAAATACACTGCTGAAGGGAGCAGCGAGCGAGTCAGGAGAGGTCTGCTGTGCCATGTGGGTCATCTCCCTGGCCAGGGATCAAACTGCAGTGGCTGCAGATAGCTTCATAGTGCTGCGTTTTAACCCTTTGTGCCACCAGGGAGTCCCATGTAGTAAAGATTTTTAAGGAAAACCAGAGGAGAGGAGTTACCTTTTGATGGAAATTATATGTGACTAAAATATTTAAAGATTTTTCTCATTTCAAAAATGGTGAACATGGGCCTCCCCGGTGGCGCAGCGGTTGAACGCTGGGTTGCAAAGCTGCCCGCGGCCTCTGCGGCGCCGGTTCGATCCCCGGCTGCTCTCCGGCCACCGGATGAGGGTCCCACATGGCACACAGACCTCTCCTGCCGCACGCTGCTCCCCTCAGCAGTGTACTTCGGTCCTTCTGCCTGCTCTGCTCCCCGCTCTGGCTCTGGTGAATTCTCTCACCCTCCCGCGCTTCTCACTGTACCCACTGCATGTATAAACAAAACAAACAAATAAATAAATAAATAACATTCCTCTATTGGGGGGGGAAATGGTGAACATATGTTAAGTTTATGAGCATAAAGAAGGTAATGTCAAACCCCAAAATTGCACTATTCTTAAAAGTAACAATTTCTAGAAGTTTTGGTGGGAAAAGGTGATAGCATTAATAGGTTCCACAGGAGCTGAACTAGTGCTTTGATGGTTTAGGCATAACCTTTATACCCAGTCACTGACTGGACTAATTTAGAACTATGTTTTCTGTGCTGTGACATAACAGTCTATGGAAAAATAGTCTTATAACAATGAGAATCCAAAATAGCTCTCACATGATTGTTAGTTACAAACTGCCCAGAATTAGCCTCCCGTGGTGGCACAGGCGGTTGAGCACAGCGCTGTGAAGCTGTCCACAACCTCTGCAGCTCCGGTTCCAGATCCCAGCCAGCCAGGGTCCCACATGGCACAGCAGACCTCTCCTGTAGTGCCTGCTGCTCCCCTCAGCAGTTTATCTCAGTAGATCTGCCTGTTCTTTTCCCTACTCTGTCTCTGGTGAATCCTCTCACCCTCCCCTCGAATCTGGCCTGTACCCCGGTTCTTGTCTGTATGGATAAATTAATAAATCTTTAAAAAACAAGCAAACAGACAAACAAAACCCTAATTCCAAAAAAAAAAACCGCCCAGAATTAATATCAGGAAGGTTTTGGAAATTTCTAAATATAATGTAGTTGGAAATTTCTTCAGTTACCTAGCTCTCTAGCTAGAAGGAATACTAACTTTTAATCTGTTTTTTTCTGAACTGTGTGAGAGTGGATCATATTCACCATACTCCTTTATTGCATAATAATTTTGCATATTTCTTTGTTTTGCCTTTATTAAATTTTTACTTACATTGGTTAAGACTATGTAAGTGAGGCCTCCCCTGGTGGCGCAGTGGTTGAGTGCTGGGCTGCAAAGCTGCCCACAGCCTCTGCAGCGCCGGTTCGATCCCTGGCCGCTGGGCAAGGGTCCCACATGGCACGTAGGCCTCTCCTGCTGCCCCTCTGCTCCCCTCAGCAGTGTACTTTGGTCCTTCTGGCTCTGGTGAATTCTCTCACCCTCCCGCTCCTCTGACTGTACCCAGTGCTTAAATAAATCTTTAAAAAAAAAAAGAAAAAAGATTATGTAAGTGTCAGGAGTAGTAGCTTCACATCTCAGTACCTACCATCATTGCAAATTGACCCCCTTCTGCCCATTTTTCCCACCCTTGTATGTTTCTTAATAACATAGGCACTCTGTTGTATCTATAGTACAGTTATTAATTCAGGAACTTCAACTTTGTATCTGTCCTTTAATCTGTACTTCATATTCCATTTTCTACAAGTGTCTTTTATGAGTGTTTTCCTTTACATCATGCAGTCCAGGATCACTTGAAGTCAGGTTTTTTGTTTTTGATTTTTCATAAAATGTTCCTTAATTGAGGTTATGCTGATGCATAGCTTCAGGTCAGGGCATATTTTCTTTGACTGTTGCTGAATAGGTGATTTCTTCTTAGTCTCACATTCAGAGACCCAAAATGCCTGTTTGCCCCTTACTGGTGATGTTAAAATCATCTGGTTGCTATATTATGTAGTCTTTTCATTGTATATTCTTTTTCCTTTTGTAACTAATGAGAATTTTGTGGAGAGATTATTTGAGCAAATACCAACTGACTATACCTCACCATACCTCTTATCCATTTAGCATCCAGTAAAGCTTCTTGCTTGAATCTTTTTTTACTAAGATGGTTGCAAAATAATTTTTTTTTTATTCCATCTTTCTTTTCTGTATTCATTAGATCTAACTATATGGGAGAGCCTTGCCATATAATTCATTGCTATCATTATTTTGATGTTGTTATTCCAGATTTGGCTGGTAGGAGCCTTCTCCCTGAGCTGATTTCTGAGTCCTTTTGATATGACCTAGCAACTTTTTGGAATGCACAGCCTTACCCTTCGGAATAAGATGTTTGTTACAAACTCATCTTTTACCTTCCCTAACCCAGCTCTGGAATCAAGTATTTCTTCAGGGAGCCAAGATTTGGGCACTGTTAATTATTTAATAAGTCTTGGTGTAACTTATCAAACTAGGACCCATTTCTGAATGGCTGTGTGCTTAATATTAAGTACTAGAAGTTTCCATTCTTCACATGCTTGTTCTGTGCCAGACTCAGTGCTAGGATGATTATAAAAAATAGCTCCTTATGTCGCCATAGGACTCTACCAGAGGACAAGTCTCCAGATGTCCAGGGTGAAAGTGGCTGTAAAGCCAGGTCTTTGACTTCCAAGTCTGTGATCTTAACAACAGTCTCCAAGGATGAGGTGTACAATAAACTTGTTGGATCCAATTGCTGAGTGTCACACCTCTGCTCTGCCAAATTTAAGGCAGGAAACTTAGTAGAAGGAATCAGGAAAAGTAGGGGAGCACTGCTGTTAATGGCAGGACAGAGTACTTGCCATGTGCCCCACAACAGGAAAGCTGTGATTGACTGTCCTTAGGTGCCCCAACATTGCTTTACAGCCTGGGAGCCAGCACTGCTCTCCCCACAATTCTGACTATATTAAGCTCTCTCCTGGGATGTCTTTTTAATTGGGTATGTGGCTCTTGATCTCTGTTTCCTTGTGGCTATTTAGCAAATTTGAGTAAACTCAAACAAATTTGAGTATTCCTGCCTGCCTTTTATTAAAAATTCAAATTGGGGCCTCCCTAGTGGTGTAGGGGTTAAGTCTCGGTGCTATCATGCTATCACAACTGCAGCCTGAGTTCGATTCTGAGCCAGGGAGTTAACCCACATAAGGCACAGCAAACCTCTCCTGTCTCGACCTCTGCTCCTCTTAGCAGTATATTTCAGTTGATTCTCCTGTTCTGCTCCCCACTCTGTCTCTGGTGAATCCTCTCTCACACACACACACGCACACCCATCACCCAACCCCTCCGCACCTCTGCCCTATACTCCATATGCATTACAAATGCATAACAAATAAATTTTGGGGCCTCACTGTTGGCACAAGGGCTTAAGCCCAGTGCTGTGAAGCTATCCTCATCCTCTGCAGTGCGAGTTCCATCCAGCCAGGGAGCTACCCACATGGCACAGCAGACCTCATCTGTCTCACCTGCAGCTCCCCTCAGCAGTGTATTTCAGTAAATATGCCTATTCTGGTGAATCCTCTTACTCTCTCCTCCCCCCCACCCCCCCCCCACCTCTGGCCTGTACCCCAGTTCTTTTTTAGATATTTTATTTATACAAGAACTGGAGTATAGGCCAGATTTGTGGGAGGGCAAGAGGATTCACAGAGACAGAGCCGGGAAGAGAACAGGCAGACTGGCGAAATACACTGCTGAGGGGAACAGCGGGCTCGCCATGTGGGTTGCTGCAAGACCGGCCTGCAGACAGCCTCATGGCGCCATGCTCAACTGCCTGCACCACCAGGGAGGCCCTGTACCCCAGTTCTTATATGCATAAGTAAGTAACTCTTTTTTAAAAAAAATCTTTTTAAAAAATTCAAGTTGATTCAAAAAAAAATACAGCTATTGCTTATTAACAGGCTGTGGATATGGGTGGTGGGACCTTGGACTTGTGTGCAGGTCAGCTGTTCTCTAGCCCTGCAGGGAGAGCATGAGAGCAGTGTACTTAGGGCTGTAGTGGGCGTCAGATGATACTGGATTCATTCCTACTGCAGCCAGAACACGTGCCATTTGTGAAAACACTTTGTCTTACTGGTCTTATATAAAAAACTCTGACAGGGATTCTCAAATCGGGTTGGGGAGATTATGACAGAAGAAGGAGTAAGATATATACTGGGATGTGCTGGAGAAGTGGCTTAGCAATAGCACGACCTCCAACATAGACATTTTAACCATCCTTTAGATTTACCATTTATTAAGCTTCTACTGTGTGCTACTAGTAGGAACAGCATTTAGACATGCTTGTTCTTTAACAGGTCTAAGGAAGCGGGGGTGGTCTAATGTGTGTTTAAGAATAAGGATATAGAGGCTGATAGTCCTGGGTTTGAACCCCAGCCACGCCACATAGGAAGAGCAGTGTGACCTTGCACAGGAAAATAAGAGGCTGCGAGTGTGGCCTGTAGGGACAGATCTGCCTCTGACTAGCTGTGCCTCTTCCTCTTTCCAGTGGGGATGATGAAATAATCTGCCTTGTAGTGTTGTGATGTAAAATGAATTGCAATGAGAAGTCACCTGGGACAGTGCCTGGCATCTCCGTAAGTGCTCAGTGAGCGTCAGAGTTGTTGTGTTGTATTTCCCTCACTTGGCAGCTGAGGAAACTGAGATTCAGGGAAGCCTGGAGAACCCAGGGTTACAGCCCCAGTAAATGGCCAGGCTTGGATCTCAGATCTAGGGTATCTGGCCTGTTGTGTCTTTTACAGAGTATTCAGTATGTCTAGTATTTGTGAGCCTGCATCAGGCCCTGGATCTCTCAGATAGTCTAACCATATCTGGTATTCATTTGTGGCATCAGAGGTTATGGTGTTCTTAAGGCAACAGGAGGACAGCAAGGAATCAGAACCTGTGTGGAAACTTATTAAGAAGCTGGGAATATTGAGCCTAAAGCAGAAGGTGTGTGGGAAACTTGAGCCTACTGCCCCACTGGGGTAGTAGGGACAGGTGGAAGCTGTGTAGACCATTCCAGCTGTGCAAATACAGCAGAGGCAGCCCTAGAATATTGTTAGTCTTTTTGCACTCTGGGTGTTCATGTAGAGGCTGGTGGTCATTTGGCACTTGAGAAAAAGAGTGAGCTAGTATAAGGTAACAAGCCAGTCAGAACAGCACACCTATGTAACGTGGGCTTGAATCATTCTAAATAAATCGCAGTTCTCTTCCAACCAGAAGACACATAAAACAAGCTACCTTTTTCTGGCAAATATGGTACCCAAAGATTACCACTGATAAGTTTGCTTCTCCTCACACCAAGCCAGTCCCTTGGCTGGTCTCACCTCTAGGCTCCCTCCTCTCTATCTCACAGTTTGTCCATATTGGCATATTCATCTTTCCTAAGTGCCACTGTAATCCTCCTCGCCCTTCATATGACCACAAACCCCCAATCTGTGAGGTTTCAACCCTGTCTACAGCTCCAGTTTCACTGTTCAGTCCTTGATCCTGTGGGTTCCTCCATCTCTCTGCAAGCTCTTGCCTCACACCTCTCCAATTCCAGGCCCTTTGTAGAGGCCCTCCACTTCCCCTTCTCAGTGCCTAGGCGCTCATCCACACCAGAGTGGATGGTACTTCTAGACTGTGTCTGCACTTTGAGAGCATAGACCTGCATCTGATGTGTGTTCATGACATCCTCAGTGCCTCTGCAGTCTGTGTGTCAGGCAAATGCAGGAGAGGGTAGAGTTTAGACATGCCAAACTGCTGTTGAGTGCGTCACATGCTTCGCATACAGGCAGTGTAGCAGCTGAGTTAGTGCAGAGTCAGGGCAGTTGGGTTTGCATTTGGATTCCCTGTATTTTGGCTATTTGATCTTGGACCAAGTGCCTTCATTTTTTTTTCTCTGTAAAACTAGGAAAGCTCATACCTCTCCCAGAGGGGCTGAGAGAGAGAGAGAGGGAGGGAGGGAGGGAGGGAGGGAGGGAGGGAGGGAGGGAGGGAGGGAGAGAGAGAGGGGAGAGGAAAGAGAAAGAGAAAGAAAGAATTGCTGGGCAGTGCCCTCAGTGCACCTGAAAGCACTCCGGTAGTTCCCCAGCTCTGCCTGGTTCCTTTGTTTGACTATTACTTTCTGTACTCCTCCCACTGGCCAAGGTGCCCCTGCTTTGTGTGCGCCTGTTATCTTTTGGTGCTGTTGGCCTTCCTGATAAGCTAATGATTTCCTTCCAGATGTCTAACATCACAGTCACATACAGAGATGGCCGTGTGGCACAGCTGGAGCAGGTGTACATCCGTGGCAGCAAGATCCGCTTTCTGATTTTACCTGACATGCTGAAAAATGCACCCATGTTAAAGAGCATGAAAAATAAAAACCAAGGCTCGGGGGCTGGTCGGGGAAAAGCAGCTATTCTGAAGGCTCAAGGTAGGTGCTTCCCATGCCCTGGTTTTAAAAATATGGGTTTGTCTTTTCTCTTTAAGGACAAGGCCATGTAATCCTTTGGGCACTGAGGGTGGATCTGACCTCTGCCAGCTCTTCCCTCACTGACACCCCTTTCCCTGTAGTCTTGAGGGATCTTCGAGATCCCCTTGCCTTATACCTTTTCTGTTTTGCTTCACCTGACCCCTTTCACAGGGTTTGTGCAGAATCCAAAGTGACTTCTTGGGGAACTAAGATGGAGAGTAGTAAGAGTCTTCAATGAGAGAGTAGATAAGTCTTCAATTAAGACTCTAGAAGACCCTTTGTTTCCAGAAATTCTGCCTGGGGGGTCTGGGGAATTTGTTCTTATCTAGTTTGTGAGCAGGGGCACTATAGTGTGAATTAGCTGGCTTCTGAAATGATGTAACAACAGTTCCCAGAGAGGGCAGGAGTTTGTATTGACACCCAGCATACACAGAAATGCTAATCCATTTTCGGATCCATTTTCGGATAAGAAGTAAGCAGTTTTCACTCATCTTTACCCATTAAAGTGGGCAGGATTTCTATTTCCAAAATTTCTAATATTTGAAATTAAATCTTCCTTTAGCACATTTCCAAAATGGCACAGGTCTTGTCCCAGTCACATAAGGCCAGCCCAGTTAGAGGTTTTATGTTTGATTAAGAAAGCAAGAGCAGTTGTTAGAAATGTTCATAGTATGGTAAAAAGATGTACAATGTAGGGAAATCACGGATTCTCCATATTTGAGGTAGCTTGAGAAGTACCGATTTTCTGCTTTCTTAAGGAGGACTGCCCCCACTGTCACGTTGTAACTGCACCATCTTCTCTAGCAAAAGGTGAACCCCAGTGGTTGTGCACTAAAAGGCACTTGCTGTGAGTCGTCCCAGGCCAACTGACTGCTGCCTGAGCCTTCTCCCTCTCCCAGACCCTTACACTGGCCCTTTCAGCAAGCGGCTGGGTTCTTGGTGACGTCCCTCACTGTTGAGGTTGACTCCCAAGTTCTGTAAGAGGAAAGAAGGGTGATACTCCAATTAGTAGCTATAATAATATCTTTACTTGTTCTTCAAGCCACTGGTCCCCTCCTAGATTACTTGGGTCCCGGAGAACGGCAATCTTGTGCCCTTAGTGTGGAAAGGGGTTTTGGGTTTTTTGTGGGTGGTCGTTGGTAGTGGTGGGGGTTTTTTTGGTTTTTGTTTGTTTGTTTGTTTTTGTTTTTGTTACGAACATTTCACACATGTAGACAAACTCAAAGAATAAGACTTGTCACCCAGATATAACAGATGTTAACATTTAACTATAATTGTTTGGGAGCTGTAAGTGTGAATTAAATGCATCTGTTGAGTTTTATTAGCTTGCCCTGAGCCAGTTCTGGGAATTCATCTTTTCAGTGGTTCTGAGACTGTCTCCAAAACCACCTTCGCACTTGACACCTTGCTTTCCCAGTCTTGGAGAGAGCAGTGCTGGAAAGAAAGGCAGTTTAGAGCTTACTGCAGCTCTGAGGCCAGGAGCCAGGTTCGCCCCTCTCTCGGGCTCTGATCTTCCCTTGACATGTGATGGGGCAGGCATGGTGTTGGACCAGGTGCTCTTCGCGCGCCTTCCTGCGCTTGTGTCCTTGACTGCTGCTGCTCTATGGCGTGAGGACTTACTGACCACACTGACCTGACCGTGCCCTTTCTTCTCCTTTCCCCTTCAGTGGCTGCAAGAGGAAGAGGACGTGGAATGGGACGTGGAAACATCTTCCAGAAGCGAAGATAAATTTATCTGTTGAACAGAACTTTGCCCTTATTTTTCCTTTTAGGTTATCTGGCTTCAAGGGGTATGTGCTTATATATATGTGCTAGGTTTTCCTTAAACAGGAAATGTTCAACTAAATAAATATGATTGTGCTTTTTTTTTTTTTTTTTTTTTTTTTTTTTTGGAGAAAAGAACTATGTGTTCATTTTGGAGTTTGGTATTCTGTTTACTTTGGCAACAGGTTAAATTTTGACACCCTGGGAGATGACCTGGGAAAATGCCAGTACTTTGAAGTAGCAGTTATTGCTAAAAGTTTAAGCTGCTGTTCCAGGCCAGTTACTGGTTAAGCCCCAGAAAAGTTCACCTCTGAAAAACTGAGAATTCACAGACTGTCTCCTTTGTCTTCGAATATAGCCACTTACATGGCACTTTGTTCAGTTCACCTTGTGGAATTATCACCAGCTCATTTTGAACAACACAGCATAGGTAGTCTAGCCTGTGATAAAGTACAATACTCTGAGCACTGTAACCTGAAAAGTCTAGTGGTTCAGCATTTGGGAAAAGTAATCTAGTACTAGTACTGGCAAATCAGAGAACCCTAGTGGCTCCTGTACTGGTTTCACAAGCAATTTTGTGATGGTTCAGGGGACAGATTCATGCATTTATCAGAGCATCTCAGCATTGATTGACACAGCCACAGTTTTTAATGTTGCAAAAGTATAATTGGAGAGAGGACGGATATGCAAAGTGAATAGCTCTGACAAAAAACATGGAAGTTGGAGAAGCAAGCTGAAAAGAGGTCTTCCAGAGGAGTTCCGTGTAGGATGAACTATAGCAAAAGAAACATTAAGAGGGGAAGGCAATGATTATTGGCTCATAGAACATTTCTCATTGGACAGATTGCTCAAGTAATGAAAGGAGAGGCAGAAGAAAATTCAACGTATCCCATTAACCTGGCATCAAGTAGGAATTTTCTGACAAACTCTTATAATCATGAAACTGCCTTGATGTAATGGACCATGTGTTATTCCTATAAAGTATTGCTAAGGAGTAAGCACTTTTGGGTCAGTCAGGTAAGGCATGTCAGATAAGACATCAAAGACTGTGCCCCCCCCGCCCCCAGCAGCCCCTGTGTCTCCTGTACCCGAGTTCCTCTGACACATTAAATGAAGTATGTTGGTGCTCCCACAAACAATGTTGCTGCAGTGTAGGGGATCCAGGACTGGGGGCCATTTCAAATGAAACTTAAGCTGTGAAAGGAGTTAGTTTTAGATTTGACCAGTTTGTTTCTGGCAAGAAAAGAAATTTGTACATTTAGTTACCTATAAAGTGGGTTTCGTTGAAGTTGTTCAAAATGGGATTCTTTCAAGTAAAAGAGGTGATGCCCATTAATGCCCTCAATGATTGTTTTCCCGCCTCCCTACTGGTGACCTTGATTTAAAGGCATTGATTTACTGATTTATTAATGAACCTACTGAATTATTCATATGAGTGAGAACAGTGGTTTTCAACATCACCTAGAGAACTACTAGAGAAGCAGATTGCAGATTCCATGATAATTAGCTGATCTTGAGTGGGACCCAGAAATGTGCGTTTTAAACAAGCATCTTGTTGCCCAGCCAGGTGAGTCAGACTCAGTGGATCTGAAGGTGCAATTTGACCCTGCACTAGTTACAACTTGACTAGGTCCTGAAAAGTGAATGGGGGGGGGGGGTCTCATTTATGGGTTTTGCTTCTAATTAATGTTCAGAAAATTCGGAAATTTCATAAAACAGTAAGAAACCTAAAATGCATAGCTTTAGAAAATTTTATATTCTTTGTTTTAGGGGAAAAATAATAAGCAAAGTTTATTATGAAAAATAGTAATCTACCTGCCCTTATCTTTAAGCCCCATTTTCCCTGCCTCAAGCATTCTTTTTCAACTGTTGCCTGATATGTTTTTTATTTACCTCCATCTCTCAATTTTAGCACAGCTGCTAAAATTATGCACGGCTGCTGCATGATGTTTTGTTTTAGGCATAATCTCTCCCTTTGCCCACCATGCCTGTATTCCCATCGCTCATCCCCCGAGGTTACAATTCTAGTTAGACCATATGCAGTATCTATCTTACAGTGTCTGGGTATTTAAATCACAATTGAGCCTTGTGGACTAGATTACAGTCCTGCGGAACTTTTTTTTCCCTAAAGTTAATCTTGCGTTTGTATTTGCTAGTTTTCTGTCTGCGCTTTACTCATTCAACCCCAGACTTTTCTAAAGACATGTATCAATTTTTTTCTCAACCCACCCCAATCTGGGCTGGCTTTCCCCTTTTGCTTAATATATTGCTGTCCAGTGGACTATCCCCACACCTCTCAGTTTAATCTCCTGTTTTCCTGTGTAACATTTTCTTCTGTCAGTTTATTGAATACCTGCAGTAAAATGGGAAGTAATTTTTTGAGAGAATTGCATGTCTGAAAGTATCTTGTTCTCTCATATTCCATTGAGCATGAAATTGTAGGTTTGAATTTGTTTTCACTGAGAGTTTTGAAAGTAGTATTACTTGCTCACCTAGATCTAATACTGCTGTGGAGGAATCTAAAGCCATGATGAGTCCTGACTCCTTTTCCTTCCTTTGCCAGTGTTCTGGAATTTCACAATGCTGTCCCTTGGTGAAGGTCTGTTTTCATGCATTGTGCCAAGCCCTCGATGAACTCTCATTTCTGGAAAACTTTCTTGAATTATTTGTTAATGATTTCCTTCCTTTGGTTTTCTGTTTTTTCTTTGTGTATTTGCTGATATCCTGATGACATCTGAATCCCCTAGATTTCTGAGTAGTAGGTTTTTTTTTTAATCTTTTCTCTCCTAGCTCCCTTCCTGCCCCCAATTTTCATGTCTTTTGATCTCTTTTGTGGAAGATTCCCCCACACTGATTCTCTGAATTTTAATTTTTTTTATTTTAATTTTCTAAATTTGACCTTGCCCTGTGGTTGTAATATCTTATCTCTTAAGGACTTCATTATGCTTTGTTGAAACTTTGATTTCCCTGCATGCTGTTTTTCCCCCTTTTTTTCTTGTAATCATTTGTGACTTTCCTGAACCACCTGGCATATTCCACAGATAATAAAAAGAAACAGGGATATTACGAACAACTTCATGGCAACAAATTCAACAACTTAGATGAAATGGACAAATTCCTTAAAAGGCCCAAATTACCAATGCTAACTCTAGATGAAATAGGTAACCTGTACAGCCCTGTATACAAGAAATTGGAATTGTAGTTGAAAACCTTTCCACAAAGAAAACTTCAAATCCATGTGCCTTCCCTGAGAAGTTCTGTCAAATAAGGAAGAAATAATAACAATTCTACACACACACACTCCCCCCCAAAATTGGGGGATACTTCTCATTTTATGGGACCAGCATTACCTTTACACCAAAACCAGGTAAAGATTACAAGAAAGGAGGGCCTCCCCTTGTGACCCAGTGGTTGAGCACTTGGCTGCGAAGCTGCCCGCAGCCTCTGCAGCACCAGTTTGATCCCTGGCCACTGGCGAGGGTCCCACATGGCGCAACAGACCTCTCCTGTCTTGCCCACTGCTCTCCTTAGCAGTGTGTTTTGTCAGTCTGCCTGTTCTGTTCCCCGCTCTGGCTCTGGTGAATCCTCTCACCCTCCTGTGCTTCTAACTATAGACAGTGCTTGTATAAATAAATAAATCTTAAAAGAAAAAAAAAAGATTACAAGAAAGGAAAACCATACTGAGATACCACTACCTAAAAGAAAAGGAAACATTCATGAAAAACTTGAACAATATTCATAGCAACCCTTTATAACACCTAAAAACTGAAAAAAACCTAAATGTCCAACAGGTGATGAATTGTGCTTCCTTCCAGTAGAATACTACTTAATAATAAAAATGAACTATTGATAGGACAAGGTTTATGTCTCAGCACAATGAAGCTATCCTCACGAGTTTGATCTGCCAGCAAGCTACCCATGTGGCGCAGCAGACCTCTCCTGTCTCGCCTACTACTCAGCAGTATATTTCAGTAGATCTGCCTGTTCTGCTCCCCACTGTCTCTGGTGAATACTCTCACCCCCCAGCATCTCTGGCCTACACCCCAGCTCTTGTATGCATAAATCTTTTTTTTAAAAAAATGAACTCTTCATACATAAAACAACCTGGTTGAGTCTCAAAGTAATTTATGCTGAGTGAAAGATGTCAAAAAGCATACACACTGATCCCATGCATCCAATACTGGAAGGTGCCAAACTATAGGGCTAGAAAACTAGTTAGTGGTTTCTTGGAGGTGGGAATAAACAAGTTGGGAGGAGAGGCATTAGCAAGGGAAGCTTTTGTGTGTGACAAATGTATGTGCTGTCTTTATTACGGTAGTGATTTTATGGATATGTGAACACTTGGTGTGTCCACTTTATTTCAGTAGACAGTAGGGTTTGGCTGTCTTCTGCATGCTTCCTTTCCATGTTCTCAACCTGGCAAGGTAGGTTAGCTTGAGGCTGAGCACCCAGAAGTAAAGACTGTGCTTTGTCCTGGTCAGAAGTAAGTGTGGGTAAGCATCCCCTTGTATGGGGGGCTTCACCTGATTCCCGCGGACCAGCACAGCAGTGAACGATGAGGCCGCCTCAGGGTTGAGAGAAGCGTGCAGGGTGGTCAGGGCGTCGGCGAAAGAAATGACAGACACACTTCAAGAGATGTCTCCAGGGGGTTTTGCTGTTCTCCCCCTGCTTCAGGGAGTTTTGCTGTTCTCCCCCTGCACGCTGGTTCCTTGCCCAGCCGGACCTAGGGACCGTGGCGAAAGCCATTAGCCCTAAAGGTCACTGCAGGGGGAGGTGCGGCACCTGATAGATACTTCCAAACCCACTCTTCAATCTTTTTTTTTTAAGCCTACAAAAGTTTTACCACATAAGGATTTTTCACTCAAATAGACAAATACACAATAATCACAAACTTGAAAGAATAGCAAATTAATGTTCTCTTAGTTAAGGCCTATCAACCTCAGTAACATTTCTCAGTAACATAAACAATATTGTACATTTTAAAAGACCTGGTCCTGTTGCATTTTTGCTTTAATTCCTTTTCACTTATTGACAGGCAGTATTGTGTGGATTGTCTAGCATGTCTTACATCCATTTGACTCCTTTTGATTCTCAACTGTGCCCTGGGTGTGTTCACTAACAAATCATTTCCTAGGGACTATTACTAAGTAACTTGACCTGCCTTTTTCCAAGACCAGTTGTTTACTCCTATCCATTCTTTGTTGCTCTTCTGTTGGGTTTCTGCTTGACCCAGAAGCAAACTTCTTTCAGATGAGTTTGTCAAAAATCTAATTTGACAGCAGTTACACTGCAGTGTTATTTTCTCCTTTTTTATTCATTATTGCTAATCATGTGAAATAGGGAGATTAAGTTGAATTCATGTTAAACATGTCTAAACTTCCATTTTACTTTGCAGGTATTTAATAAAATCCTCAAATTGCAGTTGAGGGAATAGCCTGTTGCCCAATGCTCCATGTGTCTGGTTAGTGTCTTCAAGGCTTCAGCCTCATGATGTTGACCTGGAGTTTTGCCTTCTCAAACACATTGTAATACTGGAGGCCCTCTCTCTGAGGTTAACCTCTGAGCATCCTGCTTGGGTATATTTATTTGTTCTTTTTGGAGATACAAGAACAGGCACCCCTCTCCCTGACTCTTCATCAGATTCAGCTCCATCATCATCTCTCTGAAGAGGCCGGAGGTGGGAAAGATGGAAAAGTTTCATCTACATGCTCATCTTGTGGGTCAACCAAGCATTCTGCAGTTCCAGTGTCTTCCTCTCAACAGACTGTGGTGGTGCTATGGCAACAGGCTCATTAGTCTTTTTCAGTCCTGGGAGAGTACAGAACCTGGATCCTCACTGCATCCCTCCCTCTCCATTGTACACATGAAGGGGTTTATAACAGGTCTCCCCAAGAAGTGCCACTTTGGTAGCTGGAGTATTTTGAGCTGAAGGCAATCAAGGCCCCATAGGTTCAAGAGAAACTTGCCTCTCCCTTAACTACCTGGAAGAACTTAAATTAGAGAACTTGCCCATAATGAGTGTTATCAGAAATGACTTTTTAAAACCTATCTGTATGGCAGGGCAAACAGCTAATTACTGGGCATCTGTTCTTAATGTCAGGTGAACTACCTTCCTCCTTTTGAAGTCCCAGATCCCCTATCGTATTCCCTAGCTCAAGATGGCATATGTACCTCACATGGGCTCCTTACACATACATAATTTTTTTCTTTTGTTAATTTGATTATTCAACTAGAAGAACCAAGAAGGGTAGGTGATATTACACACATACAAACACACACACACGGATACTGAGGCACAGAGAGGGTCTGACTGGTCTTGTTTCAGGGGCAATGTGAGGAGATCTGCCCTCTGCTGCAGGATGCCATGCTGGTTTCTGCCTCGAGTAGCCTCTTTAGAAGGGGCTTGCTCAAGTTCAGGTGAATTCCAGGGCAGGCCAGTCTCAGCCTCGCCCCTGCCCCTGCTATCTGTGAGAGATGCAGCAGCATGCAGCGGGTAGCAGGTGTTGCCAGGCTGCCGCCAGGCTGCCAGACTCCTATCCAGTTTCTAGCTATCAGACTTTGGCCAATGTTGCGTCGTGCAGCACCACACTGATAAAGACATGGGAGCTGTGGAACAGGCTGCACAAGGCAAGATGCTGAAAGCAAGATCCTGGCCATTTTTATTGATAGAATAATCATAGAGCATCAGCTACATGCGTTAGGGGGACAAGGAGAAAAGGATGGGTGAAACAAGAATGTCAAGTAGGGCTTGGGGGAACATGAGTCTGCTGAGCATGTTAGCTTGAGGACCAAGTGTGGTAATTGAAACAGATCCCAGACCCCAGGCCACAGGCCTAATCTTATCAACAAGGCATTCCACTGATCAGCCTCTGGGGTCCCTTGTCACACATGGGTCCTCGGCCACCCAGGCATTCCCGGTCATACCTCATGACCTCATGATGTATGAGTCAGGAGTAAGTTTACGCATCCATCCTCAGCCCCGCAGGCGTTGCTGGTCATACCGCTTGATGCATACCCTTCCCAGAGTGATCGCGCTTTCTGCTCTTGATGTGAAAGCCACCTTGCAAGGTTTGGCTCATATGACTGTGACTGGACAGTTCTGGCCTTTGTATTGGAATGCAGAACTGCAGGTAACCAGAATGGTGGCTGAGCAGGCCACTGAAGTCTAGCAGCCGCTTAAGTCTAGCAGACCCACAGGATAAGTCACTTGATCTCTCCCTGCCTCCGTTTGCTCACTAAGTGGAAGTGGTAGCAGCACCCACATTCTTCCAGTGCAAAGAATTAAAGAAGTATTTACACTTTGGAGCAGTAACTGACCCAAGGAAGTACTAATTAAATAAGTGGTTTCAGCTCTGCCCAGTCCTGAAGGCTAGGGCTCCTGTAATTCCCATCCAAAGATCCTTGGATGGAGGCCCTTCTGATGCTATAGAGAACCTGCTCTGCACCCCCATGAGGCTCTCACTTCCCAAACCTTATATCGTTCTCACTCCAGCAGGGTAAGGGGAGACGTAGTGTATTACATTTCCAAGATGACAGGCGCCAAAAGGACCACATAGCAAGCAAGTGACCAGGCTGGGACCAGGCCAAGCCTGTCTGCCTCCAAAACTAGGTTTGAGTAAAGATCAACCTGAGTGAAACCCACCTGCTGCCTCCTGGACCTTGCGGGCTGTCCTGAGACCCCTTGGGCCCAAGACCCTTTCAGGATTAGGGCACAGGGGGAGGCTTCTCGGCTCCCAACAAACTGTGTAGGCCCATGTCCTTAAAACTAGGATTGGAGAGCTGGAAGGGACCGTGGACCACCAGCCCTATGTGGCAGAGAGACCCAAAGCCCACAGAGGGATGTTCCACAGCAGGCTGACCCTGGTGCTCTTCACACTTGTCCTATGGCCTCCAGGTAAGAGTTCCTGAAAAGCAGCAAAACCAGCAGGGCCTGACCTTGGAGGGGCAGGCTGCATAGGAGGGGAAGCTGCTTTTCCTCACCTATTCCTGCCTGGTACTGAGACTAATACCATCCTGTCCTCAACCTTCTTGGGCCTCTTCCTTCTGGCCTAAGAGGCTGCTGTGCATCCAGCTTGCCTGGAAATGAGCTGCAATCCCTCTTGGTCCATGGCGCTTCCTTCTGCCCCTCACCTGCATGGGAAACCAATGCTCCCAGACCTGGCCTCCTGGCTCTGCATGGGAGAAACTTAGGTCATTTTGGGCCTCAGTTTCCCCCTGGACACCTCTAAATTCCTTTCTTTTATCTGCCCTGTCTGCCTCCTAGTTGGTCTGAACTACTAGTTCTCCACACAGGACTGTGAGGATGGTGATTATATTAGGTTTTTGGTCTTGAGTCTGGTACTTAGGGGGTAGGGGAGGGGTGGGAGACTGAGAGACAGCCCTCCACTAAGATCCAGCTACCTCCTGGGGGCAGCCCTAGGACTGCTCTAATTCTAAACCCCCTGCTGCTGGCTGTATCTACCTCCACCCCCTGCATGCTCTCTTGGGGTACCCCACAGGAAAGAACTGTGTACATGAACACCCAGGGCCTGGAGGGAACACACAAGTTCTTTGTTTCTGATTTAATAAGTCTCTTAACTCACCAAGTACAGGAGGCTGTGGCGGGAGGGGGGGACCGGAGTTGGGAAGGTGATGGTGGGTGAGTAGCAGAGATGGTGAGCAGACCTGTGCCCTGTGGGAAACAAGCCTTTCCTCCTGTTGGTATAGTCTTGTCCCAGCCCAAGCAGCCTGATGAGGAGGTCAGCAGCCTGGGCTCAGGCATGAGCTTTCTGTGGGGCTCCATTCTGAGCGATGCACCTCTCCCAACCCCCTCCTCTCCAGCTTTCTGTGTAACATGCCCAGGCCCTGCCCAGATGTGGTGGCCAGGCCCCTGGAGCCCTCCTCTAATGTTCCAGCCCCAGGATGGACCCAGTCCTACTCTTCCCTCTCTCGCGGCCCTGCCCAGAGAGCACATGAGGGAGGTCAGTATGTCCCTCTCTGAAGGATAGGCAGGATCCCTCAGCTATCTGCACCCTTTCTCCCCACCCCAGTCTCAGAGCTGGCACTCAGAGGCCCTGAAGTCCATGATGCAGAAAGGCTGAGGCAGAGGGGGGCATTGTTCTTTATTGTGGGTTCTGCATGGTGTGTACTGGGCCCTCCTGTGGAGGGAAGGCTGAGACTTGGGCCTGGGCTGACCATCTCGTGGGCCTCCGATGAGCCCATTCTCCTGTTCCTTTAGTCCCAGGCTGAGCATTTACACTGGTTCTCTGGGGGCTGGGGGAATCTCCTGGGTTGCCATCACTCCCCATCCCATGGACTTGGAGCATGGTCTTTTAGGTAGCAAGAGCCAGAGGGGTGGCGGTCACCTGGTGCAGCAGGCCTGGGACTGAAACCCTGACACAGCAGCTGCAGAGCCCCAGGTAGAGGCAGCAGTGATGGGCCCAGATGTGCTGCCCTCAGGTTCAGGCTCAAGGTCCAGACCCTCATAGATGGTGGGGAGAGAGGTGCGCTGGCTCAGCCGCCGTCTCAGGCCAACCAGCAGGGGCTGGGGCAGGGTGGCCACATCCACATTGTTGCCCAGGTCCACCCAGGCCAGCGTGGGGAACTTGGTGGTGTCCTTGACAGCCTCAGTGAGTTCGCGGGTAGTGGCCTGCGTCAGGCGGTTGCCATTGAGCAGGAGCTGGGTGAGGCAGGGCAGCGTCCAGAGGCTGGGCAATAGCAGGCGCAGCAACTCGTCACTCAGCTCCGTGAAGCTCAGGTCCAGCACCTCGAGGCCCGCGCCATGGCTGCCCAGGTAGCGTGTTATGTGCTGCACATCCCTTGCTGACAGCCGGATCCCTGAAAGGTCCACCGTCTCCCCTGCCAGTGGAGTCTTCTGAAGGCTGCTCTTGAGGCTAGGGGAGGGTGGTGGGTGGAGGTGTCCTGAGTGAGGGCCCACCGCCATGCAGTCCCCACTGGCCACAGACAATGTGAGGCAGCCCATGGCCCAGGCCCCATACAGTTGGGTCAAGTTGGGATCGTATTGCCAATTTCTAAATGGGTGGCCACGGGCAGTGCTCAGCAGCTCTCTGAGACCCAGTTTCCCCTTTGTTGAAAAGGGGACCTGGCTATTCTGAGAATTAAATACACATACACTGAGGTTCCAGGGGCTGTTATTATGGAAACCTACCATATGCCTGCATTACCACACCTGTTTCACCTATTCTTTCACTTTTATGCTAAGTCAGAGGTGTAGGAATGACTGGTTATCCCATTCTGCACAGATGCCAACATGCTCAGAGAGGAAACATGAATCTTCCATGGCCACTCACCACTAAGGGAGGAGCCAGGCCTCCAAATCAAGGCCCTCTGACTCCTGAGCCCCCCATTTTCCCACAAGCCTCCTCTAAAGTTGATCCAACTAGAAAGGGAATAGCCTTGGCATAGCAAGAATGGAGATGTGGAGGGGTGTGGGAGGGACCTGCCCTGGAGAAGGGCTCTCTGTGTTCTCAACTGAAAGGTTAAAAACAGAAGCGTCCCCCCCACTGCCAGGCCCTGGGACAGGAGGTAGGTCATACAGAATGTGTGGCTTGGCTTGGGAGCATCTGCAGGCCCCAGCCAGACTGGCTGTAAGGCAGGCGAGGGTGAGGGGCCCAAGGGTGAGATTTCAGATAATAGCCTCTTGAGAGAACCAAGGACTAGCCCTGCCTCTCCACATCAGCCTGGGAAGGGACCCTAAGGGGCCATGGCAAGGCTGTGGGGGTTCCTCTTACCAGCTCTGGGTCTTCCTCCGGGGCAGGCTGGGCCCTCGCTGCCGCTTGGAGTGAGGGGTGAGGTGGTAGATGAGCTGCCGGCAGATCTTGTCGGAGGACTTCCAGAGCTCATAGTCCTGTTGGGGGAGGGGGATGGCGTGGTCAGGATGAAGCCAAGCCAAATGAGCACAGTCATTTACCACAGATCATTGCCCACTGGCCTCCCCTCCTGCCCCCACCCGGACTGCGGCCTGGCACAAAGCCAGGGGAGGCTGTCCGCTGGGAGCTGGACAGGCTAGTCCAAGGCCCACACTGCGGGCGGGAGAAAGCCCAAACAATGGGCCCTTGTTCCCTGTTCTCAGGCCCAGGGCCAGTATCTCAGACCATCAGCTGGTTCCCTACCCACCCTCCGCACTCCCAGGGGACTCGCCACAGTGGGAGGCAGGACCAGGCTCCTCCAGGGAGCCCTGCTCCACTGACGCCACCCCCAGGGAATAGGAACAAGCCAGGTCAGCATGCTCTTCTTCCTCTCACTCTAGACTGCGACTGTGGGCCCCGGGTCTGGGTGGCCAGGGCTGGGAGGGTTACCCTGCGATAGCATTGCCACCTGGCTTTCTCCTGGGCCTAAGTTGTCCTGCAGTAGCCCAGCTTGGGAGGAATACAGGGGTGCTCTGCTTTCCACAAAGTATGCTTCCATTACCCAGCATGTTCTTTCTCCAGTCCCTCTGTCAACAGCATGCACACACTGTGGCAGCGAGCCCTGGCAGTCACTGGGCTAGCCTCCGAAACCCCACCAACAACTGTATATAAACGTGGGAGTTTTGGAAGCACCTGTAGTGGGCATCCTCGTTCCACCCGGGACTCACTGTGACTAAGGCATGAGGGCTGATATTTATGGCAAGGTGTCTGCAGGTGCCATCAAAAGTGGGGTTCCGGCAGCAGGGCAGCAGGTGTGGGGGAAGGTTGCAGGTGGTAGATGCCAACTCAACAAAGAAGGGGCTTGCTTGTGGCTTGCGCTGCTGTGGGAAGCAGGGAGCGCTTGCTCCAGTGATATCCAGGAATGGGAGTATGTATGGGGGTGGATGTGTGTTCCAGGGAACTCTCTGGCCCAGAAAGTCAAGACTGGCAGTTTAGTTCTGTCAGTGGATTTATCAGAACATTCTGAGTCCCACAGCGTCTCCATACTACCTCCTGCCTGGGCCCTGTGGCCCGGTGCACAATGCTATGGAACAGGAAATGGGTTTACTTAATACATGGCTCGTTAGGATCGGGAAAGCACAACTCACATGTGTTCCAGCCGCTGGCCAGCCTGACATACTGAAACTGGGCTCAGGAGCCAGAGAGGGACAGTCACCTGGGTAAGGTCTTATAGCAAGTCAGAGAGGACCCAGCTCCGAGCTCCCAGTCCTGGGCTCTCCCGGCCCGTCAACCACACTGCCCCGCCTGAGGCCTCTCCCCACTGGCCTCACCGTCTTGGGGCACTGCAGGTCCCGGGCCAGGTTCACGAGCAGGTCATGGGAGATGGGGTCCACCAGATTGAGCATGGCCACGTTCCTGTAGAGGATGCTGGTAAGGAGGGTCCCCTCGAGGCCCAGGTCCTGTGAGGATAGTTGAGTGAACCATGGGCCAGGGCCTCCTTTCCCTGGGCCCTGTCCCAGCTTGCCAGAGCCCCTCACATCCATTCCCCCTGCGCCATCTCTCTCCCTGAGCCTTGCTGGCATCTTCCCACAGGACACAGGGGGTAGCAGGCCAACTGTCCAGGGGCAGGTAAACCCTTTAGTGAGGAGAGGGCTGGTGCGCCAGGAGTCTCAAGGACGTGATAGCAGATCCTGGAACCTTTAGCCTAGTTTCCTGAAAGTGAAACGAGACACCTTGCCTCCTCCGAGGCTGGGTTCCTCTGATGATCCCCTAAATGCCTTCAGGTCCTTTGTCCCCTCTACCTATTCCAGAGCTCTTCTGTGGCCATTATCTGTTTGCTGACAGGTCCAGTGGGGGTGGACAACTCTCTCTGCTCAGATGTCCCAAAAGGCAGCTCAGACTGGGTGTGCTCATTTCCTGCCCTGAAAGCCAGCTTTGCCAACTGTGCCCAGCTCTGTAAAGAGTGCCACAACCCCCATCTTCCCAGGTACGTGGGCCAGAGCCCAGGAATCACCCCCACCTCTCCCCCAACATCCACTCTACCCAGCTTTCCCTCTCCACTGCTTATAGGGGTTCACCCCCTAACAGCCCTCCTAGGGTACCCAGCCACTTGATGCTCCTCCAGATCCAACTCTGGACTTGCCAGAGAGGTTCTATGAAACCCACACTTGATCTTGACCCTTAACCCCTTTGGTGGAGACCAAATGTTCTGGAAGTTTTTGTTATATCAGCAACTAACACCCAGTCTGGCATTCATGCCCTTGCAGGCCAGCTCACCAGACTACCAGTCCAGCCTCAGCCTCTTAGTTTCCCATTCCTCACTGACACCCTCCCTCTGCCATCCCCACTCCCCCACCTGTCCTGGCCTTCCTTCTGTCTTTGGTCTTCTGCTACTCCCATAAGTCTGGTGTAGTGCTGACCATTCCTTTCCAGGGTCTGTTTAGAGGATATACCTAACAAGCAGATGGGGCAGGCACAGCCAGGAGGGGCCTCCAGGCCCCAGGAGGGCCCTCCCCAAGCCAGAGAATGACATGTTCTGTTTGGAAGACTGCCCCCCACACAGGAAGACAGGCCACGTGGGTGTGCCCAAGAGTCCCTGTGAATTATGAGTTATGGGGCATGCCAGGCCCGTCACTGAGCCTCAGATCCCAACCTCTAGAACACAAGGGGGAAACCTAGTCAGTTTCTCAGGTCAAATGCCCAGTTTTTGCCTTGGGTTCCAGACACCACCCCAGAGATGGGTCTCTGGATAGTTTGGCTAATAGTGCCACTCTGCCATTTGCCTTTTAAGCACAATTTAAGCCATTCAACTAGGGGGATCAAGATGGGGGGGTAGGGAGCCTGGGCTGACCCAGCCAGGGCCCCAGACCACAGCCTGGTTTCTGCTGGCCTTCATTGTTCCTCTCAAAGGGACAGCCGCACCTTTCCAACCTGCTAGGCTGAAAATGGACACTCAGAGCAGCAGGAGGTGTGGGGCTGGGAGACTAGAGGTTCGGTCATTGCCCAATTTCCTCTGTGACCCTAGGTTCACTACTGCTCTCCAAACCGCAGTTTCCCCAGCTCTAATCACCTACTAGCAAGCCAAAGACCTGTACAGCTGATTTCTGCTTACCCATAGGGCAGGCTGTGGTAGCTGCTGCTGTAGCAGGGAGGGACATGGGCAGAGAGGGAAGTGTTTTGCCCAGTGGTGATGCTAGACCAGAATCCATGTCTCCTACAGCAACCCGGGGTTCCTCATCTGGGACCATGGTACCTGGCATGTGTGGGACCAGAGTCTGGATATGGAGTTACGATGTGCAGGTGCCAGATGAGTATACTCAATGGGTCTGAGCTGCCTGATAGGATAGGTGTGGGCGCCCTTGGCTGTCTGGGTTGCTACGGTGTCATGGTGAGGCTGCATCGCTGACCAATGGGCTGTCACATCCCAGGGTCGTCTCCCTCCTCCAGTGCCTACCTTCACCCGGAGGAGCGGGGAGCTGTCTTAACTTTGACCCTCAATACAAGATGCTTACACCCCTCCAATTGCCACTTCTCCCAACCCCTCCTTTCCTGTTAAGGCCTGAATCTGGGCTCTTAGTACCAGACTTGGGGCACCCTCAACACACACAACTGACAGTAAACCCCGGAGACCGAGACGCAGTCACTTGTCCCTCTTCCACAGGCACAGGAGGCCCGGCTCGCGGGCCTCCCCCTGCCCTCGCTCCCTCCGCGCGCCCGGTCCTCGCGGCGAGACTCCCAGCCCTGCCCGCCGTCCCGCCTCCCCTCGGATCCGCCCAACCCGCGCGCCCCAGGCGGCTCCACGCGGCCTCCCGGCCCCTCCCCGGCCCCGGCCCGGCCCCGGCCCCCGCCGGCCCCCGCCCGCCCGCTCCTTCTCTCGCCTGGCGCAGGAGGCGCAGCAGCTGCCGGGCGCGCTCGGGCCGCCGCTCGCGGAGCGTGGACTGGATCTCGCGGAGCCAGCGAACCCGGCGCTCATAGGGCGCGGGCCCGCACCCGGCCGCCGCCCCGGCCTCCGAGCCCGCCCCGGGGCCAGCCCGCCGGCCCAGCCGCGCCCCCATGGCCGCCGAGCGGCCGGCGCCCAGCCTGCCGGCCGGAGACTGGCCGTCCGCGCCCCGCCCCGGCCCGCCCCGCCCCGGCCCGCCCCGCCCCGCTCCCGGGCCCGGTCCTTCGGGATGGCGCGGGGTGGGGAGCGCGGGCGCCCCTGCCCAGGCCGGGCCCCGAGAGGGGGCTTCCTGTTGGGGGGCTTCCAGGCTGTCGCTTGCCCCCTCTTCCACAGGCGCGTCGGGGGCTCTTGCTGGAAGAGGCTCCCACCCCCGCGGGAGCTGGAGTCGGTCGCGAAGTCCCGGAGCCGCCAGGAAAAGCGCCGAGGCTGCCAGCACGAGGTGGCTCTTGGCGCCGCTAAGCCTTTTGGCCTTCGTGCTGATGTGGAACTGTCGCTTTGGCAGGGCCGGAGCACTGGCCTTGGAGCCACGGCAGGCTGGTGGCGCTCCCGGGCCGCAGTGCTAATACCTGCTCTCGGGCATCTCCCCGGCGGAGAGCCGTTGCTGTGGTGGCACTGACCCTTTCCGTCTCAGGACACTTAAGCATTGACAGATGTTTACTGCCCCTCCCTTCTTGGGTGGGGGGTGGGGGGCAGGCATGGCCAGGTTAGGTGGAGTGTCCCCTCTGACCTGAGTGATAAAGGAGCTGAGGAATGCTGGTTAACCTTTAAGCCCAGCTTGGGCAGGTTGGCAGTAGGTCTGCCACACCTGCCCTTAGATTTGATCTCCCCGCCAGGATGGAGCAAATGAGCTCTGGTTCCTGTAGGGACCACACTTGAGCTAGGGACGGACCCTACCTCCCAGGGTCTCCTCACCAGGCTGTGTTGGAAACCTGCTGCCCCCTGCATTACCCCCCTGCTCGAATCTGGGCCCCTCACATTCCAGGTAGGTGGCATTTGGAGACTAGTCTTGGGTTTCTGATTCCCATAGCAGGAGGGTGGGTGCAGACTTCAAGGGTGTAGGAGGGGTGAGCACAGAAGGGTGTGTGGGATGTGAGGGGTGACTGTTGATGGAGGGCAGAGCCAGGCTCCTTCCTCTGGGTGAAGCACTGCCTGCCCAGGAGGAGTTGTGTCAGGGGCAGGTTACTAGGCTCTTATGCCCTGATGCTGAGCCCCAGAGAAACAGCAAAGGGTAGTTTTGCGTCCTTCCTGGACCACCTACCAAACTACTGTTGTAGCCTGTGGGGCCCCCTTATCAGACTTGTTCCTGAGGCCCCCTTCTTTCCTAGCATCTGCCAGCTGGACCCAGCGACCTCCCCTCCCGTCTCTATAGACAGCATTGTCCTGGGGCCACCTTGGCACTGCAGGTTTCCTCCCTGGCAAACCTGCATGACTGCCCAGACTGCCTTGCCCCAGGGCCAAGGCGCTGTCGCTGAACTGACGTGGTAGTGAAGGGGCCAGAAAAGGGATTAGAGACTTAAGCAGCAGCCCCAGTGCCCCAGGGACCTCTCAGCCCCCAGTCCAGAGCTGCAAGCCTGGTAAGACCCTCTTTCTCCTCCCCCACATCCTCAGAGCTGGAGTCAGAGCTGGGATGGCTCCCAGAACCTGATTATCCTTCCAGACGCTGGGCCAGGCCTGGACATTGTCCCCTTGAATGTGAGAAGACTCTGTGTGTGTGTGTGTGTGTGTATAAGTGAGTTGGGGGGAAGGCTGAGCCTGGCTGTCAAGAAGGGGACAGCCAGACAGTGGCATGGGGGGATACCCAGAGCTTAGAATCCTGTGGAAAATAGAGAACTGCCCCTCACCCACCACCCTGCTCTGTGTCCCTTGTTGGCTGAGAGATTCCTAGAGGACATTTTTCCAGGAAAGGAGGAAGGGTCGGGATCTTTGGATGGGCCTCTCTCAGTCTCCTATAGGGGTTTGAGCTGGTTTGACTTAACCTCATCTGGACAGGAGCCCCCAGAGACAGACCTGGCCCCTCAGGAATGGGGCCTTCATTCTCCCTCACTAGCCTCTATGTGTACTTAGTTAAAAGTTGCATGCCTCCTCTCTGGAGTTGCCCAGGGCAGTAGGGGTGTTCATGGAGGTCCTATAGAGTCAGGGGGGCTGTGATATTGTCCTCAGTCCCAGGGATGATGTGGAGGTTCAGGGGCTTGTACATGGTCTCTCAGGTAAGGGAAGTTGGGGGCCCAGAGGATCAGGTGGATGGTTGGGTAACACAGCACAGGTCCTGCTGGGGGCACTCTAGACCCTAACTGGGGCATGCCAGGAGACAGGCTACCATAGGGTAGCCTGGCTGGAGAAACAGGGAGCAAGGTCCAGAAGACCCTGTAGTAAGGTGGAAGGCTGCAGCTGGGGCTGAATCAGGCCTACCTTACCTTTGGACTACTCCTCATCCAAGCCCAGGAGGAGGAAGGCCAACCCGGGGCTGATGACAATTAACCAGGTGACAGTCTGCATGGAAAGATTCAGGATGGTTTCAGAACTCACTGGGAGGAAGGAAGCTGATGGAGGAATGAAGCTCTTTTGGTGCTCTGTGGAGAGTTTCCCCTGGAGCTAACTCTATAGTGACAGGAAGAGGTAATAGAGAGCACAGGAGTCAAAGATCTAGGCTCAGGACCTGGATTTGAATCCCCTGGATCAACTACTTTTGGGGTGTGCAAACATTGGCAAATAGGTAGTTGTATTCATTTCTGTGGCTGTGAGAAATTACCACACTTGGTGGCTTAATACAAAAGAAATATATTCTCTCACAGTTCTAGAAGCTAGAAATCTGAAATTAATTGGGACAGCAGGGCCATGATCCTCTGAAGTTACAAGGGAGACTCTTTGTTTGCCACTTCCAGCTTTAGGTGTGGCCCATAGTCCTTGGCATTCCTTGGCTTGTAGCTGCATCACTCCACAGATTCTGGGCCTGCCCTCTGTGTTGGGCAGCCAGTAAGGTGGGAAGTTGGGGGGCCAGAGGATCAGGTGGGTGGGTGGGAAACACAGCACAGGGCTGTCTGGGGGCACTCTAGACCCTAAGGGCGGACCTCACAGACCCAAGGCGGGGGTCAGTGGAGTCGCGCACGTTGCTAGGGGGAAGCAGGGTTTTATAGGGTGAGGAAAGGTCAGGTGGGTAGGGGAAAAGTTTGTAGGGCAGGTAGAGGTTCTTTGTCTGAGATGAGACTTGTAGGGGGAGGGGGGAGGCTCATTGTCTGAGTCCTCCAGGCAGGTATCCGCATTCCTGCCCCCCAGGTGGGCTTCCTGGTTGGCTCCTGCATTCTGGCCTCCTGCATGGACCTTTCACCAAATAAGGTCACATTTCCAAATAAGTTCTCAGGTGGGGTATGAATTTGGGGGGGTGCTATTCAGCCCACTATAGTGGCCTCTGTAAATCTGTTTCCTCTTCTGTAAAATGGGGAAAATAAAATACCTACCTGGCAAAGGGTTGGAAGGATAAAATACAACAAGAAAAGAGACCAGCACACAGCAGTGTTGCAGTGTGGGAACTCTTTTTCACTAATGAATCCTCTATAGTAACTGAAGCCATCACTGGTCCATTCAGTGATGACAGACACAGGTTTGCAGCAACAGCCACTCTGCAGTGGGGAGAGCTATGAAGGGAATCCCTGCCCCAGGCACTGCGGGAGGCCAGGAAGGCACCAGCCCAGGAAGTGGAGGCTTCCAGAGGGGGTGACTTTTTTTAAAAGGTTATTTATTTATGCAAATTTATGCATACAAGGGCGGGTGCAGGCTAGAGTTATGGGGTGTGGAGGTGAGAGGACCTACCAGAGACAGAGTGGGGAACAGAACAGGCAGACTGAAACATGCTGCTGAGGGGAGCAGCCAGCAAGACAGGAGAGGTCTGCTGTGCCATGTGAGTCAGCTCCCTGGCCCAGGATGGAACTCATGCCTCAGTGGCTGCGGACAGCTTCATAGTGCTGAGATTTAACCTCTTGCACCACTTGGGAGGTCCCAAAAGAAAGTGACTTGGAGGCTGGAGTCTAAAGGAAGAGTTTTCACCTCACGTAGTAAGGTGAGTCCCAGAGGTAGAACCAAGATGAACTTCACAGAGGAAGGGGCGGGGAACCTGCAGGGCAGGAGTTTATCCGGAAGGCCAAGGGGGCCTTTGAAAGTTTTTTCCGGTGGGAGAGGGAGGAGCTCAGATTTGCATGCAGAGCGCTGGGACTGACTTGGGGGAAACGTGGTGGGGCTGGGGACCTGTGAATTGCCAGGTGAGAGGGGTAGTCCTTGGCGCACTGGGGGTCAGATGTGGTGGAGAAGGGTGTAGAGGCAGGGGCAGTTGGATGGGCCAGGGAGGATGCAGGGGTGGTGGCCTAGACTCTGGCTAGAGTGACTGGGGAGGTCTGGGAGGGAAGTTGCTTAGCTCAGGTCTGAGCACGTGGTACCTGATGCACCCGAAATATCAGCGGGCACTATGTTTTGATGCCGGAATTGTCAGGCCTAGTCTCCCAGCCAGGATCGGATTTCAGGCTGCAGGGCAGCAGGGCAGCGCTGAGCCCCAGCCGCTAGACCCCCCACGGGTTGGTGTCTCACGAAGCCGCAGCAGGAACTTCGCAGACGCTCAGGCAAGCAAGCGAGAAGAGGCAGGTTTGTTTAGAAAAAGTTTATTGAGGAGAAAAAGAACAGAAATAAAGTGGGACTCCCAGGCCAGGGAACCAGGCCTGGGAGGGGCAAGGAAGCCAAAGTGGAGTCGTGTCTCAGGGAATATAGACTTTCTTTCCCTCATTATTCTAAAGCTCCACCAGTCTCCTTGTGATTGGTCAGTTTTTGGCTGTCTCACTTAATTTGCTACTGAGTGGGGGATCTTCACATTCCTTATCTAACAGGTCTGTCTTTCCCCATTTGTTATATCTTTATCTTTATGGTCTAGCCCTCCCGGTGAGCATCTTTACACTTTATCTTCTCATCTGAAGAAAACCAGGACCATCCTTAACAAGATTATCTGTGGTTCTAGGATGTTTGTTTTTCCCAGTGGAATTGGTTTCATTTCCTTGCTCGTCCTTATCTCTGAAGCCTTCCTGAATTCTTTAAAGGTCCCCTCTTGCACTGTCCTAAAACTGCCTAATAACCCTA